TTCCCCTGCCCGAGACCCCTTTCCCTCTTCCACTGTACTTACTCTGTCATCGCCCAGCTCTCAGCTCAGGCGTCCCTCCTCCAACCAGCCCAGCAGTGGCACATCACACACCAAACTGGTTCTCTCCTGAGGCACTTTGACCTTAGAGCTCGCCTTTTTGCCTGGCCCAGAGCAGGTGTTCTGTCCGTGTTGGTGGACCAGTGGCCAGTGCCACCCCTGCCTGCGTTGACATGGGTGAGGTCAGCAAGTCCCCTTGCCCCCTCTGACCCCCCCTTCTGGGCAGTTTTCTCCCAGCTCTGCCCTTCCCTGTCCAGCCTTCCTGACCTCTCCCAGCTCTGCTGCTCCGCAGCTCTGCTGGCCTCTTCCTCATCTAGGGCCCTTCCCTCTGCCCCGCCCTTCCTCCCTCCTTCCCTTTCTCTTATTTCCCTGCCTGATTCAGCCTTCTCTGATCACTTCTGCTACCCTTGACTTCCTCCACTCAGGCTTGGGCCTTCCTGCCCGCTGTGTACTGGAGACCTCCCTGAGAGCAACCTAGGGTCAGGCAGCCTGTACTCCACAAGGCCAGGGCCCACTCAGGAAGTGATGTGGAGCCTCTCCCTTCCTCCTGGCTGTGCAGGCCTGTGTGGGTGAAAAGAAAGTATACTAAACATCCCAGGCAGAGCCAGCTCCAAGAGAAGGAGGCACAGTGGCCAGGGGAGGACTTAGGGAAGACTGTGACAGCATGAAAACTAGAAATAATTCCTGTGGTCAGAGGAGTAAATCCCTCTTCTCCAAAGTGGTTCACCTCCTGGTCCTCAGACTCTGGGAGCAGGTCACATTCCTTAGCAGAATGTCTGTAGCTGTGGTTTAGAGTTTGAAGACAGGGAGGATATTCTGGATCATCCAGGCAGGCTGCTGTGATCACAGACTTCAGTTTCAAATGACGATGACGTGATCAGAGAGGGCAGATTCACGCAACTGGCTCCAAAGATGCAAGGAGGGGTCACGAGCCAGGAAGTGCAGGAGATGTCTAGAAGCTGCCCAGGGAGAGGGAGAGGGAACAAATTCTCCCTTTGTGCCTCAGGAGGGAACAGCCCTGTGGGTCCATTTGAGATTTCAGGCTTCCAGAAGGGTGAGATAATCTGGACAAGGGATGTGACTGCTCTGACTGCATTTGGGGAAAGGAGAGTGTGTTAGTGTCTGTTGTTACATAACAGATTGCTCCAAATGGAGCAGCCTAAAATAATAAAAATGAACATTGACTCATAATTTCTCTGGGTCTCAGGGAGTGGCTTAAAGGTCTCTTGGGGTCATCTTGGCTGGCTACTCTGGACTTGGCAGAGGCAGTAGGATCTATTTCCGGGTCATACACGGTTATGAGTTAGACAGCTTCTTCACAAGATCAAACCAAGAGGCTTCTCTCCAGGACAGACTGTCTTTAGGACATAGTAGATGACCTTGTCCAGAGCAAGTGACCGAAGAGAGGAAAGATGGAAGCCAAGTTTTCTGTCCCCCAACATGGACCCCTCCCAGCCGGCCTTCCTCATGTTGTTGTGTTTTGAGCAGGAAGGGATTCCATGCGGCACAAGCCCAGGAGGTGGGACTCAGTTGTTGTGGGCTACTCTGAGGCCAACTGCCGTGAGTTTGCAGCGGTAGCACAGGAAGTAGGGCCTTGCACTGTCTCTGTGACTTAAACAAGCCATCTCTGTGATCAAGACAAGCAGTGTGACCTCTGAACTTCAGCTTATACCTGAGGAGCAGATGGATTAGATTTTGCCATGTTTCTAGTTCTTGTCCAGCCCCAATATAACATAACAAATAACCTCCTATTGTGTCAACTGTTTGGCATTTTTTAATAACTGTCTCAATAATATAAAGACTAATGATGCTTCTTGACTTATAATGGGGTTATGTCCCAATAAACCCATTGTAAGTTTAAAATATCAAAAATGCATTTAATATAGGCCCATTTTTCTTTTCATTTTTTGCACAGTCCTAGGGAGTGAACCCAAGGTCTTCATACCAAGCTTCACTGTCAACTCTTTAAATTTCTTTCTCTCCCCCCACCCCAATTCTGGGATAGGATCTCATTAAATTACTAAATTGTCCAGGCTGGACTTGAACTTGTGATTCTCCTACCTTAGCCTCCCAGAGTGCTGGGACGGCAAGCAGGTACCAGCATCCCTGGTTGTATAACCCATGTTTATAGACCATTCACCATTGGTAAGCCCTGATAACAGCCTACATGCCTGCCAAGAAATGACTGGATTAAAAAATGTGGTATATCTACAAATTTGATTTGAAACTGTCTCATTGCTATTTATTTCTCAATAAAATTATGGAAAAATAAGGCAATATGTGGCATACTTAAAAAATGTGGTATACATGCATGACAGAATGTTATTGAGTCATTCAAAAAAAAAAAAATGGAGTCATGCCATTTGCAGGAAAATGGGTAGAATGTAAGACCAAGTGAAATAAGTCAAATTCAAAAGTTAAATATCTCTTAAATGAGAAACCTACATTGAAGTTATAACAAAGGATAAAGTAAAGGAGAGATGATAAGGAACTAGAAGGTAGACTCTTGGAGATAGGGGGAGAAGAAAAGAGAGAAGGGTGAAAGGATTGAAAATGATGAAGAGATGTTCTATGCATGTACCGAGTTCCCTGACAGGCGTCACCATTGTGTGTTCCCAACATGCCCTCATTAAAACCCACGCTTCATGCACCTGACCTGCCTGGTTCATAGCTGGGCAGCACAGCATGCTGTGGGTGCCCGCTGTTGTGTGTGGTGCACACACGGCTGAACGGGACCGTGATCCTGCTGCCCGGGGGGCAGGGCAGGAAGGCCCAAGCCTGAGTGGAGGCAGTCAAGTGTAGCAGAAGTAATCAGATATTGCATGTCTGGGAAACCTGGGAAACGGTCACAATTTAGAGTTTGAAGTACACTTTCTGCCAAGGGCTTTCATGCCATCATGCATGGACAGCTCTTAGGCTAGCCATGGTAAGGTGGGGACCAGCTGAGCATGTTTTCTTGGCAACAGCTTTATTAAGATACAGTTTATACAACCCACATTTAAAGGTGCTTTCTGTAGTTTCCTTTTTTTTTTCTGTATTTAGGACAGGGTCTACAGGGTGTACAGGGTCTTACTTTGCAGTTCAGACTCGTAGTGATTCTCCTGTTTTCAGCCTCCCAAGTGCTGGGATTATAGGTGCACACCACCACGCCCAGACTCGATCATGTCTCTGCGCACCTCAGGGAGTGGGGCCAGTACAGCACGCTGGGGGTTGAACCCTGGCCTCTGCGCTGTAAGCAGGAGCTTTAGTCCACTGAGCTATCAGCTTTCGTCCACCTTGTGGTTTCTTGAGTATCTCCTCAGAGTTGTGTGGCCCTCACCACAATTGATTCTAGAACATTTTCATTTTTACCCCTGAAAGAAACTGCATATTTTTAACTTTCATCCCCTAATTGTGTCTGATCTTCCCAGCCCCAGATATCTTTATCTTTATAGACTTGTCTGTTCTGGATGTTTCATGGACACAAAGTCAATATGTGGCTTTTCTTTCTTTCTTTTTCTTTTTTTTTTTTTTTTTTTTTTTTTTTTTTGAGACAAGGTCTCACTGTACAGCAGCTCAGGCTGGCCTTGGCCTTGAGCTCACAGCAGTCCTCCTGCCTCAGACTCTTGAGTACTGGGATTCCAGATGATTTCTGGAGTGACATCATTATTTTGCATTCCTGCTGGCAGTGTAGAGGTGTTCTTATTTCTCTGTATCCTTGTACTTCTTATCTGTCTTTTTGATGCTAGCCGCCTTAGTAGGAGTGAAATGATGTCGTACTTTGGTTTGATTTGTGTTTTGCTGATGACTAGTGATGCTGAGCAATTCATTGTGCGCCAGCTGTACCATATCTTCTTAAGAGAACTTTCTTAATATCCTTTGTCCCTTTTTAGATTGGACATTTTCTTACAGAATGATAAATGTTCTCTGTGTGTCCTAGATACAAGTCCCTTATCCAGTTATTGATTGGCAAGTATTTTTATTATATTATTTTTTATTTATGGAGATAACCTACTATTATAGACTACTGGACTATATTGGATTACTTTTCTGAATTTATGCACCTACAATATATGAATGGCAATGGAATGGTGTTTTGACAAGATATCATGTCTGTATCTTGTACTATGAATAACTACTACAAGGACAACAATATGCAATATATTAATTATTGTAATTGTCCTATTAACCTGTTTGAAACTATCTCATTGCTTTTTTCTCAAAATTATTAAAAATTATTATTATATTACATCCAAGATTCTAGTAACAAATTTAAGGGCATAACAATTTACTCTGGTTTCTGCCTAAAGATTTTATAGGTTTTAGCTCTTCGTTTAACTCTAATCCCTTGTGAGTTAGTTTTTACACATGGCGTAAGGTCAGGGTCCAAGCTCATGCTGTTGCATAGGGCTGTTCAGTTTCCCAGCACCGGTTTTGGAAGAGACTGTCTCATCTGCATTGTAGGGCCTTGACATTCTTGCCAAAAAATCAATCAGGTTTATTTCTGGGCTGTTAATTCAGGGATTTTTTTATGCCTATTCCTGAGCCAGTCCTGATACCTGTCATTCTGTAGGGAGTTTTGAAATTGGAAGGTTCAACTTCATTTTGTCTTTTAGGACTGTTGTCTATGCAGGATCCTGTGAATTTCCATAGAAATTTTAGAATTCAGCGCACCCATTCATACAATAGCCAGCTGGGGTTCCGATGGGGGTTGCCTTGCCTCTGTAGATAAGTTTGGGGCTGGTATTGTAAGCCCTTCCTATGTGTTAACTCATTTACAACTACCTTATAATATAGGTCCTACTTCTGTCCTCACTTTACAGATGAGGAAACTAGGCATAGAGAAGTTGAGTGACTTGCCTAAGGCTCCAGCTGGCAAGGGTCCCACAGCAAGATCTGAGCCCCTGGCACCTGTGTATAGATTCCTGGCAGATTTCACACCTGTCCTTGTCCTTGTGTTGCAGACAGCCAGTGAAGATGGTATACTCCTCCTCCAAGGATGCTGCTAAGCCCAAGGGGAGTTCCAAGTTGGACGTGAGCGAGGAGGCTGAGGCTCTGATTGTCAAGTCCCCCGTGAAGGAGCGGGACCCCTCTCTGTTTAAAGTGTTATACAAGACCTTTGGGCCCTACTTCCTCATGAGCTTCTTATTTAAGGCCCTTCATGACCTGATGATGTTTGCTGGGCCTGAGATCTTAAAGTAAGAGCTCTTCCCTCCCAGCTGGGCCCCTCTGCCTCCCTGTTTGACCACGTGCTTGCCTTACCCTTACCCTTAGGCTCCTACAATGTGCTTGAGGGCGCTGGCAGCTAGGCCTCCCTGTCTATACCCATTTTGCTTAACTGCCATTTGCATTAAAGCCATTTTGTTCTACATGTAACAGAAATGTCGCTACTTAATCTGAAATGGGAGGGAATGGCTTTGTCTTGGCAAGACAAGAATGAGGAGATGCAGGCCATGCTTTTGAAAAAAACCTGCAGTGGGACTAGGGAGTCAGAAGGGAGTTGCCTCTCTTCCTCCCTTTGTCTGTCTGGGCCTTGTGTTCATTCCCTTCCCTTCCTTTTCTCTGTCCCTGTGTTCTCTGTTTGGTCACCTCTGGGTGACTTGATGTTGGTGAGATATAACCTTGCAACCAATGTGAGAGGGTCCCACAGCAGAGGTCTTGTGGTGAGTGGCATGGGCACTGTTTATACCTGTGAGGTTGGAGGTCAGAGGTTGCCTTGCCAGGAAGTGCTGGCCCAGAAGCACATTCTCTGCTTATGTGGGCCCCCTGAAGTGGTTCTGAAGTCACACCTTGTCCCCTGACAGGTTGCTCATCAACTTTGTTAATGAGAAGCAGGCCCCAGACTGGCAGGGCTACTTCTACACAGCACTGTTGTTCGTGAGCGCCTGCCTACAGACGCTGGTGCTGCACCAGTACTTCCACATCTGCTTCGTCAGCGGCATGAGGATCAAGACTGCTGTCATCGGGGCTGTCTATCGCAAGGTAGAGCGGGCTTCCACATCCCTTCTGCTGGGCCTCAGCTGGTCTCTCCATGGAGGATGTGTAGCCCAGACTATGGAGCAGAGGTAGCAGGCTGGTGAGAATGGCGACCCTGAGACATTACCCCTTAGCAAAGCAGAGTATGAGGGTTGGGGTGTGGAATGTCACGAGTCCACATGTATAGAGGGCTTGGTGGTCCTTGATGCAGGAAATCCAAGTTTAGATCCTTCCTCTGCTATTAAAGTTCTGTGTTTGACCTGTTTTCACCTTTGAATTAAACTGAACAGAGAATATCTATCTATCTAGATATATAGATATATAGATATCTATATATCTATCCTGAACAAGGCAGCACACTGTTGCATATCTATATGTGTAACTTTTTTTTTTTGTGGTACCGGGGATTGAACTCAGGACCTTGCACTTGCCAGGCAAGTGCTTATTCTACTGAGTTATCTCCCTGGCCCTTATACATGTAACTTTTAACACGTTTAGTTTTTGGCAGTTCTTGGGCTGGTAGGCAAGCAGTCTGCCATTGAGCCATGCCATCAGCCTGCACATCTAGCTTTAAAGGAATCAGATTACCTTCTTGATGTTGTCATTTCTTGGCCTTTGAGGCCTTTGAGGGCAAGGACACTATTTGTCCCGCAGATTGGGAAGAGTCTCCCAGTCCTATAGATGAGCTGTTGAGGAGTAGGTGAATGCACATGTTTAAGGACTAGTGGTTTAGACTAGGGCTTTTCCGCCAGGTGGTTTGCTTCCAATAGGGATGGCTGACAATGTCTGGAGACATTTTCTGTTGTCCAACTGGAGATGTAGCATTTAGTGGGTAGAGGACAGGGATGTCACTGAGCATCCTAGCATACACAGGGCAACCACACAGAGTGATCCAGCCCCACGTGCTGGGAATGCCAAGGTAAGTAACTCTGGCCTTGACTTTTGGGCCTTTGTTGGGACGTAGCACCAGCAGCATCTGCATGACCTTGGAGCTTATTAGAAATCAGATCTTGGGCCCTGTCACAGATCGGAAACTGCATGGTCCTGTTTCCCAGGTGATGTGTGTACACATTAAAGTGTACAAAGCCCTGGTTTAGAGGGTGTCTGAGGTGCTTTCCTCATTGAAGACTCATCATAGAAGGCAGGGACTGCGGTCAGTGAGCATGTGGCCTTAGCAATGACCCAGTTGGCTGAGAAAGTAGCTGAACAGGCAGGGGAGGAGAAAAGACCCATGGTGTTGTCACTGTGAGGAGTCTCTTCTCTCCCCAGAATCTGGGGCAGGCTTCATCACCTCCTGCACTCACTCTGTCCTTGTCCTCCATCCCTCAGGCCCTGGTGATCACCAACTCAGCCAGGAGGTCTTCCACGGTCGGTGAGATTGTCAACCTCATGTCTGTGGATGCCCAGAGGTTCATGGACTTGGCGACGTACATTAACATGATCTGGTCAGCCCCGCTGCAAGTCATCCTCGCCCTCTACCTCCTCTGGCTGGTGTGTGTCAAGTGTCCGTCCCCTGCGCATGCTGAGGGCAGGGGTGTCTGTCGTGTGCTGGCATTTCTTGCTATCATTTACATTTTATTTTCTGTCCCATTAATGAATTCCTGCATGGGTGGTTCAGTGGTAGAATTCTCACCTGCCATTAATGAGTTCCTGGGTTTTTTTATTCTTTCCCTCTGTTGTCAGGATTATGTTTTCTTTGAGGGCATGGTGTTTCTTGTGCGTGTCTTTTCTTGAGTGGATCGAATTAACAATCCTAGGACACATACACACCCAGTTTCTCCTACTCCTCGCCCTCAAATGCGCATGGAGCTTATTCATTGGTCCTTAATTACGGTCACTCAAGCTTCTGTCTGTTATAAGTGGTAGAAATGCATTTCATCCTAAGTAAACAAAAGGGATTTTAAAGTTATCTGAAAAAAATCCAAAGAGTTTTCTTCAAACATGAGTGGATCTGGGATAACGATAGTGAGAACCTCTTAGAGCTTTCAGTGGTAACAGCCAGCCTGCAGCCTGTGTGCCATAGGTCTGCCCCTGCTGATCTAGGACATCAACAGATTTTTCTCTCTGTTCTTTTGCTGTTTCTCGGCCTCGTTGTCTTCTGAGTGTGGCTTCATCTCAGTGACTCCATCGCGGTGGGCTTCCATCATCTTACAAACAGATCCCAGAGGGGACTGCACCCGTCCACCTCAGCCAGAGCCCAGCATTCTGACTGGCCCAGCAAAGCCCATCCCCGTCCCTCAGAGAACTGCCCTGGCCCTGAGGGAGAAGTCCCGTCCGTCTGCCTGAATCGAGTCCTCTTCCATCATAGAAGCGATGTGACCTCCTTTGCACAGCCCCGCCCAGGGCCAGGCTTCTCCCACAGTCAGAAGATGACACACACAGGGCTCGTGGCATCACACACACCTCGTTCTTTCCCTCCTCCGGGATTTTGCGCATCTTTCCTTTTACCAGGATTTCTCCCCCACTTCCTTCCCTCCCTCCTTCCCAACTGGTGAACTGTTGCCCATTCTTTAAGGCTGACTAATGTTCTTTTTGCTGATGCTGATTTTTTTTCTTCCCTCTCAGTTAGATGGTCTTCTTCCTTTTTGAATTCAGATAACTCAACAGGAACTTACTGGATTTTACCTTCTGAAATAGTTTCTTTACAGCCAGGAATGGTGGTACTTATGTATAATCCCGTCTATCTAGAAAACTGGGAAGCTGAGTCAGGAGAATCATAAGTTCTAGCCCAGGCTGAGTAACTTAGCAACTCAGACCCTCTCTCAAAATTAAAGAAAGAGGGGCTGGGAGGATGGCTTAGTGGAATAAGCACTTCCCTGGCAAGCGCAAGAGCCTGAGTTCAATCCCTAGTTCTGCCAAAAAAAAAAAAAAAAAAAAAAAAAAATTAAAGAGCTGGGAGTGTGGTTCAAGTCCCAGTGTCATGAATGAATGAACAAACAAAGGTTTTAAAAAGGTTTTTGTGTACTTGGTGTGCCGCCCTTCGCTGGCTGGTAGCATGTTAGCTGCTTGGAAATACAAGTTAAGACAAGCCTATGCGTGTGTGAACCCAGCCAGTTTTCTGTTGCTTTGACTGTAGTTTATATGTTTTTGTGTGATATATATAACTCCTTCTTTCAAAGTGTTCTAAATAATAAAACTTAGAAGACAAAAACACTAGAATTTTATTTTTTAATGTAGTACTGAGGGTTGAGTTCAAAGCCCCTAGGCAAGTGCTCTACTACTGAGCCATATCCGTAACACTAGAATAGAAGTAAGTAAATATTTTCTTAGGCAGATACCTTGGGCATTTACTTCCCCAGAAGTATCACCTGTAGATTAAAATATTTTTGGAATTTTTTTTTCAGAATTGTCCTTAGTTTTCAATGAATTGACTTATAAACACTAGAACAGGTGCTTGACACCACTGTTCTTTTTTTTTAAACCACTGTTCTTGTTATAGAAAAAAAAATGCTTAACCTGGGCTCTGTGGACATTTGGAGTTGAATAATCTTCATTGTGGGGACTGTCCTTTATATTCCAGAGTACTTGGCAGCATGCCGACCTCCACCCACCCCTGGATGTAATTTATGTCAATACAGTCAACAGAGGACAAAGGCAGCTGGGGCAAAGTCCAGGGGAAGCAGCCCCAGGCTTCCCGACTCTCCTGGGTGGGGAGGCACAAGGATGCGCTTCATTCCCTCCCAACAAGCTAGGGTCACCTGAGATCCCCCTCCCTAGTGTGCTCTGCGTTGCCTGGAGCTGTGGAGAGCTGCCCACGTAGTGTCCTCTGCCTGGAGCCTCCCAAGAGTCTACCTCAGAAGACAAAGGAGAGCTCAACGTAAACCTTAGTGGTTGTACAGGCAGCACGTACACGTTTTGTGAGTGGTGGAGACCCCCCCCCCCTGAAACCCAGCTTCCCAGCCACTGGCCAAACTTGCAAGCACCTTTCAAGTCCCTTAAGGGGTCAGGACAACTGTGATAACTTTTTGCACCCAGTATTGTATTACCTTTCTAAAATTCATAGACCTGCACATTCTCGAAGGACTCAGGAGCCCCCCAAGGCTGCCAGCTTTTTACCCCATCAGTGGATAGAGGGAAAGAGTACATCTGCCCTGAGCTCACTTGGCAGACTCGGGGGGCAGGTGGCCTGCACAGCTGAACGTGGAGGCCTTTGTTGTCTCCTGTTTGTTGAGTGACTGCCTTCTCTCCTTCTCTAGAACCTGGGCCCTTCTGTCCTGGCGGGGGTGGCGGTGATGATCCTCATGGTGCCCTTTAATGCTGTGATGGCAATGAAGACCAAGACCTACCAGGTAAGTGCCTGTCCCCTCCAGGGTCCACGTAGGGCGCTGGCCTGAGGCCTTGGCACGCAGGCATTGGCCCAGTGCCTTCTGCTCAGGCCTGGCACCCTCAGCCTCCCTGTCTTTTGGAATCACCTGGGGAACTTAGCAAATGCACATGCCGAGGCCTCATCCCCCATTCTGCTTCCCTGAATGGCCTGGGCACAGGGCTCCTGAGAATGTCACACCCTGCATGAACCAATAATGGAAACTGTGGCATTTGCGAGCTTCCTAGAGATTCCATCTTCCCACAGAATTATTCATTTTTATACACCATGTCTTTAAGAGTTGAGTAAAAGTTCATATCTATCTTATTCCCCTCCTGAGCTCTTTTTTTTTTTTTTTTTTTGAGACAGGGTCTCACTATGTAGTTCAGGGTAGGTTGTAGGTAGGCTGCTTTTACATAGTGATCAGCCTGCCTCAGCCTCCTGAATGCTGAAATTACAGGCATGTACCGCCATGCCTGGCATTTTCCTTGCTGAGCTCTTACTTCATGCTATGCACAGTGTTAAATTTTATTTGTAGAGATATTTTGTATTTTTTAAGTTTTTAGATAATAGTAAAGTGAATATTTTCTCGTAAAAAGTTCAAATAACAAAAAAGTATACAAATTGAAAGGTAATGTCACCTTTTGTGCCCTCTCAACCACTGTTAACGCATTGAAACTAGTCCTTTGAGAACTCTCAGTGTCTTTATGTACAGATCTGTTGAACTATTGAAGAGTTTCATCAGTTAGGTTTAGTGTACTGTCATTACCCTACATATATGTTTACCCAAGTGGGCAGCATGGTGGCATAGTTTTATAATTTGGTATCTTGCCTCAGGGATCTTTCTGTGCTATGCCATGTGGTGGGAATTCATTGCCTTGAACTGGCACCTGCTGGTGCATGAGAGAGATGGCGTTTGTTTCTTTCCTCTCTGATGATGGGTACTGTGATGTGCCTTTGGGACTTCACGTGAGTGCTGTTGGTCCCAGCTGTGACTTTTAGGAATGATGAGTTCCAGGATGTGGCCAGAAGGACAGAGAGGCTCTGAAAATTACGACCGATTGAGAATCCAAAGCAGTAGGCTTGGGGCCGTGTCACCTCTCATCCCTGGGTGTGCAGTTTCTCTCCTTGTGCACCTCTGAAATAGCAGCTATCACTGGTGTCCAGGTCACGTTGCCTCAGTGTTCTCTCTGGAGCCTAGAGGTGACCTATACGAGCACTGGCATGTTCTCCATGGGCCCTAATTCACGCATCTCACTACCAGGTGGCTTGAACCACTGGTGGGACATGCGTGACTGTCTCATGTGTGACGTGTCACTTGTATCACAGTGGTATAAGCCACCCAACGGGACAGTCATGATGGCTCAATGGGCCACTGGTAGTTATGTTAAATAGCTAAATGTGCATAAAATACTTAGAATGATGCTTGGCTGGTAGAAAATGCCACTACTACAACCTCTATGACATGGCACCCAGGGATCAGAACCATTGCCTGCTGGTATGGAAACATTTCAGGTTTAACAAACATGAACTGGTTGCAGATGAACTGAAGAAATGGAGAGGCTAAATGACACCATCCTCCTTATGTTTTTTTTTTTTTTAATCGGTGGAGCAGAACCCTAGGTCCTTTCTTCTGCACCCTCCAGAGGTCTTTTTCACTTCTATTCCTTGGTCCTAAATTGAATAGGTTTCTCTAGTGTTTAGTCAAGCAGGACTCAAAACAGTGCTTTCTTTTGGGTGGGTCTTTTGGGTGGTCCCAAGCCAAGCTCAGAGCTTCCTGGGCAAGCCTCCCTCCATCCAGGGAGACCTGCATTTGGCAATTGGTGTCCCTGAATGATGGAGGTAGTACACAGCCAGATGGAGGTGAGTGGCCTGCCTTCAGTGACCATGGATCTCCCCTTTCTGTGAAGGTGGCCCACATGAAGAGCAAAGACAATCGGATTAAGCTGATGAATGAAATTCTCAATGGGATCAAGGTGCTGAAGCTGTATGCGTGGGAGCTGGCATTCAAGGATAAGGTGATGGCCATCAGGCAGGAGGAGCTGAAGGTGCTGAAGAAATCTGCTTACCTGGCGGCTGTGGGGACCTTCACCTGGGTCTGCACACCTTTTCTGGTGAGTGGAGCCCCATTTCCCGTTGATCACGTGGCTTTGTGTTTTCTTTGGTTTTGCTACCCAGATACTTTGAAAAGGTCACAATTTCTACAAGGCCTCCTCTGACTGCTTCTCTGTAAGATCACCACCACTCTTCTACCCCTCTATATTTTAATTTTGGCCCTTTGCAGCTTCTCCCAGCCAGCTTAGGCACTGTTTGTTACACTTTTGCTGTGGGCTAAAGGATGTGGCAGGCCATGAGCTCATCTCTGTCCTCCCTTCATCTGGAAAGGCTTTCAAGGAAAGCACATTAGCTGAACTAGACAGCATGCCTAGTGTCATAATTGGTCTACAGTGTAGTCCTGCTCCTTGTGTCATTACCAGGTGCTCTAAATCAAACATGGGTGACCAGTGGGCCATGCGTTGGCTTAGTGACACTGCCAGATGCACGTTATTAATCATTTATTATCACTTTGTTTTTGCCTGTCTCTGTACTAGCCAGGCATTTGCTTTGTCTCTTGACTGCAGTATCCTGGGTGTGGTAACACACACCTAACACACACAACTGTTGTTGTATGATGCTTCAAATTTTTATTGGGAAGATATCAAGAAGGGAAATAGCTGGGTCAAGTAGAACCCTGAGTTTTAGTGTTTTGACGAATCTCCACGCTGATTTTCACAGTGGTTTTACCAGTCTACACTCCCACCAACAATGGAGAAGGGTTTCTTTTTCCCCATGCAACCCCACCAGTATTTGTTGTTGGTTGATTTGTTGATGATAGCCATTCTTTCTGGAGATGCAATCTCAGGGTTGTTTTAATTTGCGTCTCTCAAGTGACCAATGATGTTGAATGTTTTTCCATATATTTACTGTTTGTACTTCATCTGAGAAATGTCTAATCATTTCAGATGCCCATTTGAGATTGGGTCTTTAAATATGAGATGACTGATTTTCTTGAGTTGTTTATATATTCTAAATATTAGTCCTGTGTCTGAGGAACTGCTGGCAAAAATTTATTCCCACTCTGTAGGTTGTCACTTCACTCGGTTGGTTTCTTCTGCTTTGCAGAAGCTTTTTAATAAGATGAGATCCCAGCTGTTGATCCTTTTTTTTTTTTTTTTTTTGCGGAACAGGGGATTGAACTCAGGTCCTTGCGTTTGCAGTGCAAACGCTTATTCTACTGAGCCATCTCCCCGGCCCCTTGTTGATCCTTTATAATATTTTCTGTGTGATCAGAGTTTTGTTGATAAAGTGTTTTCTATCTTCCAGCAGATTTAGTGTATCATCTCACTCAAAATAGGAATAAGACAAGGATGCCTACTATCACCACTCATATTCAATATCATTCTGGAAACATTAGCCAGAGCAATTAGACAAGAGAAAAATAAAAGAAATAAATATAGGAGAAGAGGAAGTTAAATTATCCTTATTTACAGATGACATGATCCTCTACATAGAAGACCCCATAAACTCCAGGAGAATACTTCAAGATATAAATAACCAAATTCAGTAATGTAGCTGGATGAGCAGTCAGCACTCACAAATGAATAGCATTCTGTATGGAAATAACAGACTCGCTGAGAGAAAAATTAGGGAAACTACACCTTTTACAATAGCATCCAAAAAAAAAAAAAAAAAAATGAGGAACTGTCTGTTACTTTTCTCTCATTGCTGGGACACAGTACTCAGCATCCAGAATTAAGGAAGGAAAGGTTTATTTAGCCCACAGTTTGTGGAGGTTTCAGTCCATCCTGGGCTGGCCCCGAGGCAGAGTGGCACATGGCAGCAGTTCATGATGGCAGAAGATAGCACAACAGCAAGAGCAAAAAGGGAGGAGCAGCGACACCAGTGGCAAAGGGCAAGCCTCTCTCCCTTCCTTATATTGCATTCGGGCTATCCGTGGGTGTAGCTCCTCCACCTATAATCCCAGCAGCACTCACACAATTCCAGTATTGGATCATGAATTAATCACAAGCTCCAGAAGCCTGCCCCAGTGACTGCATCAGGCTTTGGGGCAGGGGATGACAACTAGACACAAACCATTTGTGCGCTGAGCTGGCCACTGAGACCAGGCGTGGTTCTGCCCACCTGTAATCCCAGTGCGGGGGAAGCTGAAAACAGGAGGATCACTATGAGTCCAAGCAGCAGTGAGACCCTGTACCAAATGCATACAAAAAGGACAGAAACTGAAAGACCCTTACATTGAAAAGTAGAGAGAGGAGGGGAGGGGGAGGGGAAGGGGAAGAGAGGGGGAGGGAGGTATACATATATCAGGGAAGATACCAGAAAATGGAAAGATATCCCTTGTTTTTGAATAGACACAAACAACATAGTGAAAATGGCCATACTTCCAAAATTGTTACACAGATTTAATGCAGTCTCAAGCAAAATACCAATAGCATAACTCACAGAATTAGAGAAAACAATCTGAAAATTCATTTGCGATCAGAAGAATCCTAGACTAGCAAAAGCAATTCTGGGCAACAAAGAGGGCGTTACAACCCCTGACTTGAAGTTATACTGCAGAGCTATTGTGATAAAAAATGACATGGTACTAGGGCTGGCCAAAGAGCTCAGCAGATTAAAGTGCCTGCAAGCAGGTGCGGAGGCCAGGGGTTCGATCCCTGGGTCTGCCATGCCGGCCCCGCCCCCAGGGCAGGCTGAGAAGGTGATTGAGACTGGGTGTGGTGGTGCAAGCCTGTAATCCCAGCTCTTGGGAGGCTGTAAACAGGTGGATCATGACGAGTCCCATCTAATAGACCCTGAACACCCTGTAGACCCTTCCCTAAAAATATAATAAATAAATAGCATGGTACTGGCAGGAAGGAAGGAAGCGGGCCAGTGGGGAGTATTGCAGGCGTCCCAGGCCATGCAGTCTCTTGTAAGTGCTCGTCCCTCCCAGGTGAGTGCAAAACCAGCGGCTGATGATCAGAAACTCAGTGTGCTGGGCCATGTTCCCCGAAGCCTATATTTATAGACACTGAAATTTGAATTTTATACAATTTTTATCTTTCATGGAATAATCTTTTGATCTTTTTCCCACCCACTAACCATTTAAAAAATGTAAGATTCATTCTGGGTTGACGAACCACCTGTAACAGATGTCAGTCACACAAGCCCCTGGCACAGCCCCTGGCATAGAGCACTGGTAATTTTTCTGAAAGTCAGGACTTGCTGCATTCTGCCGCCAGCCCACAGTAGTGTGACCTAAAGCCAGACAGATCACCTTCCTGGCTCTGGATGTTCTCATATGAACATGGAAGGGGTCAGATCTCATTAGGGTGTCACTTGTGGCCCTGCCCTGCTTTCCCGTGGCCTCAGCACACAGCCACCATTAGTCATGCCATTCTGTTCCCTACAGAAGGTTCAGCAGCCCTCCAGGTAACCACAGTCAGCGGACCAAGGTTGGCATGCGAAGTGACATCTCTCTGTTCTGGGACTCCCTGTTCCCTGAGGTCCCTCTAGCACCCTTGGCATCTAAGGTGTGACCCTGAATTTTTTGTACACTTCAGTGCTTGGAACTTTCTCCAGGGCATGGCTAGACTCTTTGTAGTTCAAAAGTAAAAGTGACCTTTGACTTATCAGAGGTTATATAAGAGGTTCATTTTATTATTTTTTAACTGTTAAAAGTCTATATGTATTATATATAACTTTTTTCTTTGTATTTTTAGGGAAGGGTCTACAGGGTGTTCAGGGTTTCACTAGATCCAACCCAAGCTGGGATTACAGGCATGCGCCTCCACGCCCAATCTCAACTGCTGTCTCAGCATGCACCAGGGGCAGGGCCTGCACAGCAGGCCAGAGGATGGAACCCTGGCCCTTGTGCCTGCTTGCATACACTTTAATCCACTGAGCTATTTGGCCAGCCCTTATATATAACTTTGAAATAGTGTCATTTGTATATATGATGCATTTTTATTTTATTTTTCTTTAATATATTATTTTTTTGTTTGGTACTAGAGATGAGACCCAGGATCTCACACACACTAGGCAAGTGTTCTGCTACTGAGCTACACCCCCAGCCCTTTTTAAATTTTATTTTGAGAGGCAGTCTGGCTAAATTTGTCCAGCCTGTCCTTGAACTTGTGATCCACATGCCTCAGGTGGGATTCCAGGCCTGAACCACCACACCCATCTCCACAGAGTATTTAATGCTTTTGTTTAGTCTACAAGACTTTATCTATTTATGTGCTGGAATTGAACCCAGCAAGTCTTACATGCTAAGCATGTGCTTTACCACTGAGCACTTTCACAGTGAGCAGGGACAATCCCTGGACAGCAGGGTTTCACCTCAGCATTGGTGCTGTTTAGGAGCCGATCATTCTTTGTGTGATATGGAGCTGCCCTGGGCATTGTAGGACGTGTGGCAGCATCCCTGGCCTCTGTCCACTAGATACCAAGCAGTCCCTTTCCCTGCTGCCCCTGGTTGTGACAGTTGGAAATGCCTCTAGTCATTGTCAAATATCCCTCTGGGAGCAAATCCCAAACCCGTTGGGAACCAGAGGTGCCTGTAAAAAGCCCAGCCCCTCCTCCCCATGGCCCTTTACCCCACCTTCTCTCTACAGCAGTTTCCCCTGTGAGATTGAGTCTCCTCCCCGTGGCTGTGTGCAGTATGGGTAGTTGTTGGTTCTTTTGTTTTCTTTACTTTGACACTAATGATTGCAAATTGTACAGAAATCCTTGGTGTTTCGAGTTGCTGTCTCTAAAGGCCTGCGACTGGAAGGGAAGATGACAAGGTTTGCCTGGGAACTGTGTTCCATTTAGGACAGGATGGGGAGAGAGCAAGATTTTCTCATAACCCTTTGGATCCTTTGACAGAACCTATGTTTTCTTTTTCTCTTTCTTTTTTTTATTTTAGGGAAGGGTTTACGGGGTGGTCAGGGTCTCACTACTAGATCAGACTCATAGTGATCCGCCTGTTTACAGCCTCCCAAGAGCTGGGATGACAGGCGCCTATGCTTTCCAGGTTGTCACCTGAACACGATGGTCCCTTGTTTATATTTCCTGCCCTGGTCCCGTTAGAAATCCCCACAGCAAAAGGTGCTGAAGAAACACATTGGCTTATTGTGACCTCCGAGTTTCCCCTGTAGTTTCCAGGTGGATAGTGAAGGGTGAAAGCACTGGGCTTCCAGGAACAGAGTTTATTGAGCTATTTGGCAAAGATCAGATGAGCCTGGGTGTCAGCCAAAGACCTTAGCCCTGGCCAAGATACCAAGGCCTCTGACTACATTAGGATAAAATATGTGGCCTGCAGTTCCCTTGGAACATTCTTGCATGTTCTTTCCACTGGTGAATTCTTGTGCTCCAAGGAGGATGCACTGTTTACCCAGTGGTACGTGAGATGGAAGACAGGCCCAGGGCATGCAGAGCAGCCTGGGGATGCCGTCCAGCAGGGCGAATGGGGCTGCCGCTTGGGAACACAGAGCCTGGCATTTGTCATGTCCACTTAGTGTCCTTTCCTAAAATAGCAAGCCCAAGCAGCCTGTCAGTGTTTAGCATTTTCCATCTTAGATAATTTGTGAGCTTCCTTGCCTTCTACTTACCTTGTATGTCTCTTCGTTGGAATAATTCTTATCCTTACTAAACAATAAGGTCTAGTCAGTATAGACCTTATACTGATACACATTTGGTAAATATATGTGGTTGAATACATGAACGAATGAATGAAATGAACTGTACTGGTTAGAAACTGTCTTTCATGTGACAGAAGTCTAACTCAAATCAACCAGAGTGAAAAGAGACAGGAGGGTTTTGAGCTGTAAAACTGAGTAAGAAAGTGCCTTAAGTATGGCTGGGGTTCAGGAATGGCTGGAGCTAGACATGTCTGAGGTAAAGTTGGAAGTAACCCTCCCCACTCTGCTTTCTTCATGAAAGATTCTTTGTCAGCCACTAGTTCTGGCTCACCTCAGCACATCTATGAGCAGAGAATCCCATTTTTAGACCACCCCACTTTCCCTCTAGCAGTTCATTTATTTTTGGACAACATAGTCTCATTGATTATGTACAAGTAGTCACAGGCTTATTCCTGGCCAGTTACTGGGCCTGGGAGATGGGATGCTTGGACTGAGACCCTCCCAGGTTGAGCCTTGGAGAATGTCAGTTCCTAAAGGAAAACTGGGGTGGCTCCAGAATGAGAGGCACAGAAGCATCTCTCTGTACAAGGAGGCATCAGGAATTTATAGGCTGGGCCTCAGTTTAAGTTCCTCACCTATTATGGGGCAGGCCCAGCCTTCCGCTGCCTGTAGCCCGGCCCTTAGGCCAATGCCCTGTGTACATTTGGTACTTTATTAATAACACGTGGATAACCTTCACTTCCTGGAGGAGCCAAGGTCACAGGCCAGACAGTCTGCAGGCTGTTGTCCCCTCTGTGTGGTCCCTGAGCTGCAGGCCTGCAGCTTCTGATCACCAGAGGAGGTTACGCTCTGACATCTGTGTGAGGTCTAATTTCTTCACTGTTCATGGATGCCTCTGAGTGGATGTGCTCCTGTCCTCAGACAAACCCTCCATCCCTCTCATCCATCTATCCTTCAGATCCAATGCAGTTTTCCATTGGCTCACCACTCAACCAGCCACCCAGCCACCAAACATGTACCGAATATCTCCAGGGGTCCAGTGCTGTGCTAGGCACTGGCAGTAGAGGACTGAATACTGCAGATACGAGGGCCTGCTCTCATTCTGAGACAGACAATAATCAACCAGTCCTGTTGCATTGTTACACTATCAGAAGTGCTATAGAATTTTTTAAAAAATTGTGTCTGAGTGACAAGGAGGGCATGCAGTTTCAAAGAGGGTGGTCAGTGGCTCACTGAGAAGGTAACACTGTGTAGGCCTGATGGTAGTGAAGAGTGGAGGCAGGGAGAAGGAGGAGAAGGTACAGAGGCCCCGGAGTGGGGTGGCCATGGAGCAAGGAGAGTGTGGCTGGACAGGTGGTGAATTGGGTGCCACTGAAGGACAGGTGGGCCATCAGCCCTGTGTTAAATTAAGGCTTTGGATTCTGCACTAAGTAGAATTGGTTGACTTTAACAAGATGGTTTTGTCCTTTCTTTTTTAATACAGATATAATCATGGTAATGTATGACTTCAGTATTTTTCATATAGGTCATGTAACCCTCACTACTAATTTCAGCACATTTTCATTGCCCCAGAAGAAAGCCCTGTAGTCATTAGCAAGTGTTCCCTACACCATGACAACTGCTAACCTGTTTCCTGCCTCTGAAGATTTGTGTGTTCTGAAGATTTCATAGGGAGGGACACTGGTGGCTTTCTGTGTCTCTTTCAAATAGCCTGATGTCCTTGCTGTAATGTGTAAGAACTGCATTCCTGGCCCGGGGCTGCTGCTCACTGGTAAAGTCCTTGCCTAGCATGTGTGTGGTTCCATCCCAGTACCGGGGGAAAAATTGCATTCCTTTTTATGGCTGAATGATACTCCATCATGTGGGTATATTTGGAGGGTTTTCAGTAAAGGATATCCTGGAGGGGGAAAAGGACAGAGAGAGGTGGATCAGTGGGTACTAAGTTACAGTGAGCAAGAAGCTCTGTGGCACGGTAGGTGGCTGCGATAACTGTGCACCGGGCCTTTCAGTGAGCTAAAAGGAAAGGACTGGGATGTCTTCACTATGAAGGCATGAGAAACGATGGGAGAGATGGGCATGTTTAGCCTTAAATATTATACAGGGGCTGGGGATATAGCTCAATGGTACAGTGCCTGCCTGGCAGGTGCAAGGTCCTGAGTTCAGTTCCTATCAACAAAAAATAAACATCATGCAGTGAACATGTTATCAAAATTTTACATGACTTTTTATTAAAATGTACAATTTTTATCATGTAAAAATAGATTTGAAAAAAAAGTGTCTTGGGTTTTTTTTTTTTTTAAAAAGATTATTTTGAGGCCCATGGTTGGTGGGCAAGGCCCTTGGAGGCACCACTGCGCTCCAGAGCCTGGTGCAGGGTCAGTGGGCTCCCGTGTCCATGCCTGAGCAGGACATCAGGCTCTGTGCTGGCGGCATCACGCCCGCTCCCTCAGCTCCTGACAGGTGAGAGCAGCTGCTGCAGGCTGGCTCTCCCTGCTGGGCTGTGCTGAGCGCTCCGCCGGGAGCCTCGTCCTTGCTGCCCGCAAATGTAAGAGGCCCCACGAGCTCCATTTTACAGATGGGAAAACAGAGTTTTGCTTGGAGCAATAAAGGAGCCCAGGGCCACACAGCAGAGACATGGCCGAGTGAATGGTTTTAATCTTTAAGCTCTGTGACCTTCCAGGAGCAGGCAGTGAAATGATGCAGCCAAAACCCTGAAGATAAGATAGGAGCCTGTTGGCTGGCCACAGAGGTGGGGCACAGGTATCTGTCCTGACCCCCACCATCTGCCCAGAGCTCCAGGTTTATTCCCCGGGGGTGCATCAGCGGCTCCAGATGCCAGGACCCAAGGTTTTCCAGATCACGAGGATCCTGTGTCCCAGATGATCCCATGGGGTCCCATTGGTGACCCCATCTGGTGACACCTGTTGCTGTCTCCTCCCCCCTCAGCTAGGCTGCCTGCCTGGGGTCGTCAAGGGCCCCCCTTTGCCCCCAGCACAGGAAGCAGTTGATGGCTAAAGCACTGCTGCCTCAGACCACCCAGCCCAAGTTCAGGGGTACCTAAGCCCTGGAAACTGCCAGGGACTTAGGGAGAGCTGGGGGGAGGGACAGATGGTCTCCTTAGACCCATACCTGAGCCTTTTGAATTCCTTTTTGAAGTGTTTCTTTCCTTGGAGCATAAAATCATATGCTGCATGAGCCTGAAGGAATGTCAGACATTTCCCTTGCATTGGCATTTCTCCCAAGGAGTAGCAGAGGCCCTGGGGGAGGAAATAAACCTGCCTGAGGTGGTTGTTGGTGTCCCTGAGTGCCTGGAATCCTTCTAGGCACAGAGCGTAGGAGACAAAGTCCCTGTGAGGAGTGGGCCTTTTGGTGCATAAGATGGACAATAAATCCATAAAATATGGTACAAGGCAGTGAGAGGTACAGGGACGGAGCGGGAGCTGGAGGGCTGGGCAGGACGGCTGCAGGGCAGGTGCAGCTCCCTCTAGGTGCCTGAAGGGAAGTGACCAGTGCTGAGTGACGGCATGAACACACTGGGGCAAAGGCTGGCAGTGGGCACACACTTGGTGCTGCTGAGGAGCAGGGTGCAGCTGCTGGGATTTGGGCCTGTCATTCATTATCCAGTTTATTCTTTGACAGTGAGCACCTGCTAAGAGCAGGTGCCACCCAAGGCTTCTGCCACTCCCTGCAGCGTGGCATGGCCCCTGGGAGAGGGGCTGTGCTGGTGATCTTCATTCAAGCACAGTATTCAGTGCTGGGTGTCCTGCTTGCAGGTGGCCCTATCTACCTTTGCTGTCTACGTGACCATCGACAAGAACAACGTCCTGGATGCCCAAAAAGCCTTCGTGTCCTTGGCCTTGTTCAACATCCTCCGCTTTCCCCTGAACATCCTCCCCATGGTCATCAGCAGCATCGTGCAGGTACTGAGCAGGGTGGGCAGAGAGGGCACAGATGTCCTGGCCCATGTGCCCCCTCTGCCTTGTCCATGCCGTGTTCCCATGGGCTTGGAGGCCCTGGACACTGGCTGTCCGCTGACTTTGTCATGGTCCAAAGGAAGACATGTTATTTCTTGATGGAAAATCCTGGTTGAGTGTACGAATCAAAAGTGTAATGCAAGAAGGCCTTCCCATCTTCTGGAAGAATCTTTCTGGAATGTTCTCTTCTCTGCCCCCCTGGTCTAGCCTAGCCGGCTTTTTCAAAACCACAGCTCTTGATTCTTGATTTATTTCACAACTCGTTTGAAACTTCCAATTCATGCCGTAGAATTCCCACAGCTCTGCTGGTGGCCTAGTGAGCAGAGGAAACCCAACTGTGTCACACCTTGGCACTGTTGAAGCCCCTGCCGGTTTTTTGCCTGGATTATGCTCACTTTTTGCCTTAACTTCACACATATTCAACTCCATTTTTAGCTATGTAAACAACTTGCCCTGAAGATTTGACTGTACAGCTCAGTTGTGGGCTCTGATAACACCAGAATGCCCTTCCATTATGAAAATTTTCAAATGTACATAGAAATAGCGGGAACACTGTAATACGACCTCGTATCCCATCACCTACGCCCAGCATCTGCATTTTGTCACACTGGTTTCCTCAGGGCTCCCCTCCCTCCCTTTCTCCTTTCTTCCTTCATTCCTTTTTTCTTTGCTGAAGAATTTTAAAGAGAATCCCAGACCTCTTGACTCTTGGCCCATAAATAGCTGAGCGTACATTTCATCTTACATAATTGGAGCACCATTATCATACCAAACCCAGTTGCCAGTAATTTCTTAAAATAATAGTCTGTACTGACGTTCTTGAAGTATCCCAGAACTGTTTGCATAGGTGCCTGCCTCTTTTGCCATAGGTTGGTAGGCTTGTGAAGTCTGTCCCTTGAGCACACCCTCTTTCACTGCCTTTTGTGGCCTTTTGAAGAAAAGCAAGAAGCAAAATCCATTTTGTTTTTGGTACTGAAACTGATACACTGTGCAGAGCCTTGAGAACTGAGGGAGGATGTGGCCTCTCTGCCCAGGGGAAACCACTGAAAGTCAGCTGGGGTGTGTTCAACAAAATGCTTTTTAAAATTAACCATGCCCTGTCATTGCTTTCTGTGTAGGCGAGTGTCTCTCTCAAACGCCTGAGAATCTTCCTTTCCCACGAGGAGCTGGAGCCTGGTAGCATCGAGCGGCAGACTGTCAAAGATGGTGTGTACCACTGTCCCCACCTCCTGCCATGTAGCTCCCTGACCCCAGCCCTGCTTTCCCTGGGATGCCTTTGGATTCCCACCTGCCCAGCAGCTTGACTGCAAGACAGCAGGGAGCAAGGCTGCTGCAGAGCAGGGCAGACAGGACAAGAAACCAAGTGTGCTGGAACCCCCCTCGTCTCACACATCTCAAGAGATGACTTGCACTTTTCCTGCTCCTTGCTGAGAGGAAGCTCCTGGGCCCTGGCCTGAGCCTTCTCTGGAGTCAGGCTCCAGGGCCTAGAACTTGATTCTGTTGTGTGCAGAGGAACAGGCAGAGCAAAGACTTGGGAGGCCGGCCAAGCTGTGTCATTCATGAGCTGTGTCTATGTGGGCATGAGCCTCAGTTTCCTCCCTGGGATACAGGGAATGGAAGTCCCTTTCTCTGAGAGGGTATTCTATGGATTTTTTCTGTAGGTTCATTTGTTTTATAGAGCATTATCTTAGCCTTTCTTCACCCACTACCTTGGGCAGGAGTCTTATTTACTACCATCTTGCAAGGCACTTAAAATAAATATTAATGACACCAGCCAAAGCAGCATGCCCAAGTCTGTGACTTCCTGCCTGTGTGTTAACCCCTAAAGGCATTGATGTATTAACTTATCCAGTGGTTGGCTTGGCACACTGCAAGGGCCGCTGTGGAAACCCCTATTTTGTAAGTAGGGAAAATGGTCTAAGTAATTACTTGAAATCACTCAGCATATAAATCAAGCCAGGATTCTCGTCCCCAGGCAGCTAGGGGAGTCCCTGTTCTTACCTGCTCCTTGGCTTTGCCACGCTGAGATCCATAGAGCACCTACTGTGTGGCTGCCATTGTTGAGTCACTCTGTGCATATTTCCTCTCCGCCTCCTACCATAGCCCTCTGAGGTTTATTATTGCCTACCCCGTCTTACAGAAGACAAGAGAGGCAGAGAGAAGTTAAGTAACATGCCTGTGGCTGCCCAGCTAGCAAAGGGGTAGCACAGGGATTGAGACCCACATGACCTGGCTCCAGAGTCCGGCAAGTAAAATCAGAGGCTGAAGATGAATGTGCATAGATTATAATGATTATGATGTGGCAGGCTTGCCTGGTGCCTAGTAGGCATTCAGATGTCTTCAGTGACACATGAAGTACCACACGGCATGTCTGGTACACAGATGACGCTACACACTGCGCATGGCAGTTGTACCTGTCTAGAGTGACAGCAGCTTCCTCGGCTCTGCCGTCTGCAGCAGGTTCCTCATCTTGGACACTCAGGGCCAGATTGGTCTTGGTTATTGAGCTACATCTTGTAAACTATAGATATTGACCAGCATACTTGGCCTTTGTCCATGGTGTTCTTACCTCAGTTTGGACAGTCAAACAATTTCTAGACATTGCCACCTGTCCCTTGAGAGAGGACACAGTCATCCCTCTTTGAGAACTACTGCCAGGTGGATGCTGTAATCTTCCTCTCTTGATTTCACCTACTCTGAGGACCAAGTCACCTCACAGGGTTTGGGGACAATGCCCTCTACACCAGGGCTGCAAAACACCAGTTGAAACTTGAGAAGCCACTGGCGGTCTCTTGCATGAAGTTGTTCACAGCTTCCTACAAGTTGCAGAAACTCCTGGGCCTTCCTGTCCTGCTGCTTTCTGAGTTGTTGATCCACGTTCCGTGCATAAGCCAGACAGGGCGCCTTGGCAGCTTCAGGCTGACTGCAGTGGTTTTTCCAAAATTCCTTAAATAGCACCTTCCAGTTTCTTCTTTGAGTCTGAGGATGTGGCTCCGTGGTAGCCTTTAGGATGCCCTGAATTTGATCCCTAGCACCACAAAAACTCAAACAAACAGTTTCCTCTTCTGGGGGGAGCTGAGGGAGAAGGTTAACTTAGACCAACTAGTCACTTCCTCTTACCACAGTAGTTTGTTTCTTTGATGCTGGGGGAAGTTATTTCTTCATTTGATAACTTAAAAACTACCCCTATATTATCTCTGGATGGTTTTAAAGTGGCTCGTAATTAAGAGACAACTGGGGTATTTTTAAAATGAAGGTGCAGGAAGTGAAAAGAAAAGGGCATACAAAGCAAACAGAGACAAAGAGCTTATAATGCGGGCTTTGTCTTGGATCTCACCCCTCCTCCAGCCTGCCTACCACACTTTCAGTTCAAAACCTGCTTGTGTCCAGTTTATTGTGACCGTGCTTTTAGGAACACTGATGTGCTAGGAGCTGTGTGGGTCCGAAGGACTGGAGGGATGGAGGGGATGCAGCAAAATGCACTGGGGGGCCAGGCTGAGCATGAAGAGTAAAGGACCCCATCTGAATGTGAGCAGAGCCTCCACACGGTGGGGCCACCCTGGAGAGGGGCTGTGCACACGAGCAGTGTGTGGTCCCCTCTCCCTGTTGATCTTGGCTGCCTAGAGCTGCACTGAGCACCCCATGGGGGCCCTGGCAGGGCCTCCCTGAGCTGGACGTCTGGCAGCACAGCCTCGTGTTCCACAGGGCCAACCTGTTGTGGTTTCCAGTTGCTCTCTGGGCCTGAGGCCACCTCAAGAGCTGCAGATCAGTGTTCTTGTTCAGGAATTGTGGCTGATGTCACCACATAAGGCCCTGTGCCATTAGCCTCTGGCATTTGAGGTTAAATCACTGGATAAGGAGAAACAGGAAAGAGCAGTCTGTTCACTCAGTCCCCTACTCTGTGCCTCACATGTTGTCTCTGGTGCTTTCCAGCTGCAGGAACCAACAGTATTACTGTGAAGAATGCCACCTTCACATGGGCCAGAGGCGAAGCTCCCACCCTGAATGGGTAAGCTGTCACACGTGGCATGGGGAGAGCTGCGGAGCTCTAGGCATCCATGTGAATTCCAGGTCTAGCCACTCTGCACCTCTGTGTCCTTGAGCAGATCCCTTTGCCTTTCTGAGCCCCAGTTCACTCATCTGGAAAGTAGGTCTAGTTGCACTCACAGGCTGCTAGGAGGAGCAGATGAGAAGGTTCCTGGCACAGAGTTCCCCTGAGTGTACAAGACAGGAACTGAGCTCTGCCAGGCAACACGGGTGGGGGGGGGTGTTGGGGCCCTCATAGCCGAGATGCTCTGCTTGTTTGTATTATAATCCAGGCCTAAGCTTGCCGTGCTGTCAGAATTCTGCCCGTCCTTGGTTTGTTTCACTTCCCTCTTTGCTTCATTGTGTGACTTCCTGTCCTGTGGGGCCTCAGTCCTCAGTTCCAGGGATACTGGGCTGGAGGCTACCTATATCCTATTATCCCATTCAGTTCCTGTGCTCCTCCCTGAACCAATCAATGCATCTGTGCACATCAGTGGGAGGCTACCTGTCTCCTGTTGGTTCACAGTGGGTTACATAGTCCTTCCAGAACCAACCAGTATCCCTAGAGGGCGTGCTGTTGGCCAGATGGAGTTCACAGCTGCTGTGCTGGAAGGATCATCTGCCACTGTGTTTGTGGTTAGGATCCCACCTGCACCCTGCCCCTTGAGGTCCTTGTCCTCCACCAGCTTGCTGTCTCCAGGGAGTTGGCCTTATTCCCCAGCTGGCAAACTTGAATTTGTCATCCTACTGCATCAGCCTCCCAGAGAGCTGGGATTACAGGTAGATAGATTATCACACCCATCTCACTCTTGCTTCATAGGTCTCTTAGGCCTTCTTGGGGAATTCCCAGACAATGGCCAAATGACTGGGTGGCCAAATTATTGCTATAGTTTTTCCTTTTTTTAATGATAAAGATAGCAAACAAGCAAACTCAGTCGCTGGTTTATTAGCCATTCTTTCTCACCCAAGATACAACTTCCATCACCTCGAAAGGTTGAAAATAAAATCCCAAATGTATTTTCCCAGCCTTCTCTGTGCACTTTTGCAAAGACTGGTATCAAGTTGAAATGTTAATGTACACATCATTTTGCACAGCCTTGGTTTGCTTGGTCAGAGCTGCAGGACATTGGATCATTTCTTTACATTTATTTTGTACACTGCAGTGCTTGTCCTAATAAATCTGCCATTTCACTCAGACTGTCTTTACCACACTGAGTGAAGACTGTTGGCTACTTGTCCCGTGATCCCCTGACAACTTTTTTTCCCCAGAATTTTATTGAGAAATAGCAATGAGACAGTTTCAAATCAAATTGGTAGGACAGTTCCAATAATTAACACGTTGCATATACTGCCTTCCTACTGGTTATTTGTTGTACAAGATGCAGATGTGATATCCTATTTACAAACACTATTAGAACAAATCCCTCTATTCATTAAGAGAATGTAACTATATATCTATCCTAACCATTTTGAATACACAGATAAAAAAGAGACATTCATCTGTAACCCCTTTTTTGTTTAGTTCCATCATTTAAATATCATAGGTGTGTGAACTCAGCAAAATATTCCAAAATAGTCCAGTAGTCCATAATAGTGTTGGGTCTTCCACTTGACTGGCAGTGTCAGAAATTGTTGACCTGAGTCCCCTACAGCTCAACATAACACCATGGCTTTACTTCTTGTTCTTTGTTTTTATACTTTTCTGCTAGATGGTTAGGACCAAGATAAAGCAAAACCTATGTACAAAGAATTGTAGCTTTTCGGGGGGCCGGGGAGATGGCTCAGTAGAATAAGAGCTTGCCTGGCAGGCGCTGAGGGCCTGAGTTCAATCCCTGGTTCCACAAAAAAAAAAAAAAAAAGAAAAAGAAAAAAGGATTGTAGCTTTGGACCTGATAAGGTCAGTGAAATCTCCTCAGGATTTATCCTGAGATCCTGTACCTCAGATTGTAGAACCTTTGTCAGTGTCAGCCATGTAGATGAGTCATGGCCATTGCATGGCCAATGTGCTCTCTGTGAGAGCCTGAGAGAATGTTTTCTCTCCATGTGACTCTCCTTAGGCACACTCTACATCATTGATCACTTTCCTCTTTGGCTCCATAATCTCCTTGATCAGAAAAGTTGGGACACCACCGAGTTACATGATGTTACAGTACAAGTTCTCATATGTCCTGAGTCTTAATTGACCTTGGAAGGCTAGGGCCATAATGTTGGCTTTCCTTGTATCCCTCCTTTTTCTCTAATTTTGGTCTGCAAACTTAGGTTGTTAACCCTCCAGAAGAGAAGCTTATTGTTTTTACCATACAACCTAGGCTGTTAAGCTTAACCTCACTGTCTGAATATCAAACATCTTAGGCATAACATGGAACAGATATTTTTCATAAAGTATTGATATGTTAAACTTTATGCTGTAGTTTTTCAAGCAGAGAACAAACTACTCAGAGAAAAGAGTTTGTCATTTTTTAAAGACTGTCTCTTTCTTACCTCTGTTGAAAAGTCTCAGTGGGATTGCATGTCTGGGAAGTTCTTGCTCATGTCTAATTTAAATCCTGTTTGGTCTCTAAGGTTGTGTTCTGTTGTGCTTCACAGCTAGTCTGTCCAAGGCCCTTCTCTCCCTCCATCCAGTCTTAAGGCTTCCTATTCCAGTCCCTCTGTTCTTTTCTCTGTCCAGCCCCAGCCTAGGAGAGTATTCTGTTCTCACATGGGTGAGGGTAGGGGTGGCCTCCTTGGGCTTCCTGTCTACCCTGGGCTATAACCCTTTCCCCACCTAGCATGGGCATGAGAGAATAAGCCATGTCACCCAGCAGCAGGGTCATAAGACTTGAATAGTCAATAAGCACAGTGCCTGGTAGTGTTTGGAGGCTGGGGAGGTAGCTCAGTGGTGGGGTGCGTGTCTAGCTGACCTCAGCTACAGAAATGGTGAAAGGAATTTCGAGACCTTAAGTGCTGTGAGTATCTCTTTGTGTGTCTACCCCCTTTTAGCTCTCTGTCTCCTGGGGCTGAGAGGTAGGTGTACTCTCTCTTTCCAGCATCACTTTCTCCGTCCCAGAAGGCACCTTGGTGGCTGTGGTGGGCCAGGTGGGCTGCGGAAAGTCATCTCTGCTCTCGGCCCTCTTGGCAGAGATGGACAAGCTGGAGGGGCACGTGACTCTCAAGGTAGGACAAGGACTTGGGGGTGGCTGGAGGGAACGTTAAGAGCTGAGCTGTTCTCATTTAAGATATCTCTGAGCACAAAGTGGGAGTAATAGAGTTTCAGTTCCTCTCTCCTTCACGCTGTTCTCCATGCCAGAAGGCAGGATATTGATCAGTCATTCCCTGCTGTCCCCGAGCTCCAAGAGCAGTGTCGACACAGGGTAGGCCCTCAGTAAGCAGGCGAGCATGCGCATACCTTGAGGTTCACTGTCTTTCCTTCCCGCCCAGTCTCTATTCCTCTTCTACATCCTGTGGCTGCTCTGCATGTGAGTCTTCTGGCTTGTTTTTTCTCTGTGGTTTCCCTATGTTTCTTTTCTTACAAATGCAAATCTGCTGTACCAGGGATCAAACCCAGTGCCTCCGCTCTGAACTACATCCCCAGTCATTTTTAATTTTTTAAGACACAGTTTGCTAAGTTGTCTAAGCTGGGCTCAGACTTGTGATCGTCAGTATGTGCATTGTGCCCTCTAAAACAAACTTGTGAGGTGTTGGTTGGAATATTTTCTCACAGTGTTGTTTATAAGGGAACAGATTAAATTCTGAGTGCTTGCTGAGATCTTAGTGTGGACTTGATAGAACAGTGTGGCTTTATTGCTTTTAAATAGAGTACTTTGAATTAAGTTGCGATTCATTGAGAGAGCTTAAGAGGCTCCTGTGCAAATAAATCCCACTGACAATCAAGAGCCTTGGCTTGCACATTAATCTTTCCTAGTGACCTTTCCTGGTGTAGAATAAGTTCTTTAAAATTTGATGCCATCATTTTCTGGAGTGCTGCTGTGTGCCTAGAATTCATCTTGCTGGATGTTTTGGAAATAAAGGGTCCCCAGCTCCTACAAGCTTGGAAATACTTCGTAACCTCCCTTGATCCCTCTTGGAAATGTATAATAAACATTCACAAAGTAAAGGCTGTACAGAACAAAGAAACTTAACTTTGTCTAACCAACATGTCACAGCTACGTTTGCCCGGAATTCTTAGCTTTCTTTACAAGACCTATTTCTGCTGTCAGAATGCCCATCTCATGGAATTAACACTGGGGAGGGATAGCTTATGCCGTTGTTTTCATTGCAGATAAAATCCTTTCTTGGTCAATTATATAGTGCCTTTTTGAAAGCAAACATTAAGGTCGTTGGGCCTGAGTTAATGCTGTTTAGCTGTTGTTTTAAGAAATGCTCTATCATAGCCGCCAAGCACATGTTATAAAGTAAGGTAATGGACAGTGTGAGCTGGAGTGATGGAAGAAAATTTCCTGCCTCAGTGGGATCGGCTTTGCCTTCTTTTTCATTAGCCTTGGTCTCCACAATCCAAGCCTCATTGACTGTAGGCTTAGATGTGCTGGAAATGTATTTAAAATACTAATTTTTCTAAATATTTGTGTTGGCATGGCTTGTACCTTGTGGCTAAATCATCGATAGGTTTGATAGTCTGACATTGTGATCCCTTAAGTTAGGATATTAGAGCCAGCAGTTTGGTCATTTATCTGAGAAGTTGAATCAGGCATCAGGACCCCTGGTATCCCCACCCAGCCTTGTCCCCCTAGAATTCCTGACATAAGAAGCTTTGGTGGCTCTTGTACCATACAGTCCAGTGTGACCAGCAGCCTGGTGTGAGCTGGCCCTGCCACCCCTGACTCTTTCCTGCCTGCGTGCCCCCCCAAGGTACACCCACGTCCTGGCCACCCTGACCTCTGTGTCTTCAGTGTACCCTTGTCTTGAGCCCTGCTCCTTTGACATCCGTGTTCTTCTCTCTTCCTTGTGAGACTCTTTGATCCTTCACCATTCTGTCTGGATCATCTCAATATTTTTATTACTAAAACTCACCAAAGAAATAAGCTTAGTCCTTGCCATATTCTTGCACTACCCTCAGCACCTTCCATCATGTGAAAATAAGAACAAAACATCCTTTGACAGGGCCAGTTTGCTATAGAAGTCTTCCTTAAATTTCACTGGGGAAATTTCCTCAAGGAATCCTTCCCCACTGCCCTAAATGAGGTCAGCACTTTTTAAAGACCTTTGTTCTTTTTTTTTTTTGCCTCTTCACAGTAGGGGTTGAACCCAGGGTCTTCACGCAGAGCTACAGCCCCTGCTCTTTTTTCAGATAAAGTCTTACTAATCACAAAGATTTGATTTGAACTTGTCATCCTCCTGCCTCAGTCTTCTAGAGTGGTGATGGCGAACCTTTTAATGATAACAAACAGCTGGCCATAGGTTCACCACCTCTTTCTTAAGTGTTCGGGTCATAGGTGTACACCACCACACCCAGATTTAAAGGACCTGTTTAGAAGGCCTTCTGTATTTTTATCCCATATTCTATAGTAATCAGATTACTTCTTTGGCCCATGAGGGATGCCTAATCTCTGGAGGCAGGCTTTTGTTCCCTGTCATAGATGTTCAGTAAGTAATTGAATACGTAACTATAGTTGCAGCACTCAGGATTTCAGCTCTGTTTTGTTTTATTTTTGTTTTTTTGAAACAGGGTCTTCCTGTATAATTCAAGGTCTCTTCCTATCTCAGCCTCCTGAGTACTAGGATGACCAGTGTGTGCCACCATGCCCAGCAAGATTTCAACTCTTTAACCCCTGATATTGGACTCAGCCATTGACCTCAGAAGGGCTCTATGTGACTCAGTTTCTCTCTTGTTGAAGCAGTAGATGTAATGAATATGTCATACATTGTAGGATTCTCTTCGTAAGTGGTATATAGGCTGCTGTCTCTGACTAAATCTGTCTGTCTGTCTCCCCCCTTCTCTACCTACCATACAGGGCTCGGTGGCCTACATTCCCCAGCAGGCCTGGATTCAGAACAACTCTCTCCGAGAAAACATCCTTTTTGGGCGCCAGCTGCGGGAACAGCACTACAAGGCTGTCATTGAGGCTTGTGCCCTCCTTCCAGACTTGGAAATCCTGCCCAGTGGGGACCTGACTGAGATTGGGGAGAAGGTTGGTATGGTGTCAGCACCAGGCTCCGAGATCAGGTCCCACAGTCTCGGTGACGTACACTGAACCCTTGCTGTCCTGTTTGTGAGTCTGTGAGCAGCTGCGATTGGTGTCTAGGCTGGCTCTGCTCAGAGGGAGGCTGTGCTCCATGCTTGTAGCCCTCAACACTTGGAGCCTGGCTCAGTCTACCCAACATGGGTTCTTGCTGGGGCCTGGGGTGAGCAAGGCTGTGCCCCAGCCCCATCACAGCATGAGGCATCAGAGGGTGGGCACAGCAGCAGTCTCACCCTTCCCATGACATGTGGCTCAAAACACCGTAATGTCTGGCTTGGGGAATGCAATGGATACCCACTGGGCTAACCTTGCAGATTTATATCAGTTAAAAGAAATCATTCACCAAATCAGAAAGCTAATGGAGCTGCCAGCTTGTAACTAGAGACAGATGAATTCTGTGTACTCTTGGTTTTCCCAGAAGTGACTGCTGCCTGCAAGTGTGCATTTTGAGTATGCACTGGACGGGCACTAGACAAGCAGGCCAGGTAACGGAACAGAAGCCCAAGGGAACAAGCAAGCCAGCATGCAGTACCCCTGATGCGCACATGAAGCAGGTCATGGGAGGTACACTCTATTGTCTCTGTCATAGTCAACTGGCTGTAAGGATGACAGAAGGTAGGCACAGGGATGAAGGCTGTGGGTGTTTTACCTGTGAACAGTTCCCAGGTGACAATACAATAGCTAACATGGATGGAGCTCTTGCTCTGAAGTAGGCCCTATGCTGAGAATTCTTGCTGTTTCTTCCCCACAGCAATTCCACTAGGTGATTTGTTGTTATTCCCATGTAATGGCTGAGCAAAGAAAGGCACCCAGAGAGGCTGCATGACTTGTCTGAGGTCCCACAGCTAGACAATTTTAAAGAGGGAGATTCCTGTGTTCCTGTTCTTACATGCTACCTTTGGTCATTTATTTCTTTGCCTATTTATTTTGATAGTACTAGGGATTGAACCCAGGGATGCTCTGCAGCTGAGCTACACTTTGTTTTGAAACAAAATCTTGCTAACTCATTAAATTGCTCAGATTGGTCTTGAACTCGGGGTTCTCCTGTCCCAGTGTTTCAGAAGCTGGAGTTACAGGTCTGCATAACTGCACAGGTTTCATTTGGTTACTTCTGAAAAAATGGTTGTTCTTTGTACTTCCCGTATTCTGCCCCTGCACCACACCCAGCATTCCCACTCCTTGGCCGTTACCTGGCCTGCTTGTCTAGTGCCCGTCCAGTGCATACTCAAAATGCACACTTGCAGGCAGCAGTCACTTCTGGGAAAACCAAGAGTACACAGAATTCATCTGTCTCTAGTTACTAGCTGGCAGCTCCGTTAGCTTTCTGATTTGGTGAATGATTTCTTTTAACTGATGTAAATCTGCGAGGTTAGCCCAGTGGGTATCCATTGCATTCCCCAAGCCAGACATTACGGTGTTTTGAGCCACATGTCATGGGAAGGGTGAGACTGCTGCTGTGCCCACCCTCTGATGCCTCATGCTGTGATGGGGCTGGGGCGTAGCCTTGCAGTCTGGCTGGGTCCTCTGCATCCCAGCAGCAGCTGTCAGTAGCTGGCTATATTTCCCAAGTCTTAAGATTTCCGAGGACACCTGTCTTCTGTGCTGTGCTTCTTCCAGGGTGTGAACCTATCTGGCGGCCAGAAGCAGCGTGTGAGCCTGGCCCGGGCCGTGTACTGTGACTCAGACATCTACCTCTTCGATGACCCCCTCTCAGCTGTGGATGCTCACGTGGGAAAGCACATTTTTGAAAACGTGATTGGCCCCAAGGGGATGCTGAAGAATAAGGTGCTGTGACCTCCCTGCTTGTTGGTTAAGTCAGGCTGGGTTCTCTTTAAGAATCCTCCACTTTCCAGGCTTTTTTTTTTTTTTCTTCAATTGGACTTGAACACATTTATGGCGCTTCCCTTGGAAGCCTTCCCAAGGCATGTGGCTTGCTCTCGTTTTTCTAGGGTAAGTCCTTGGCACTCACTTGACTTCACTGCCTCTGCTGCCCATGGGTGGCCTCTCTTCCCAATTAAATCATAGGGTTGGCTCCTCAGAGAGAAACCCACCTGTGACCTCCTCGACTGAGAGGGCTTCACCTCCAAGCTGAAGTGGCCAAGGGCTGTGGGTTTGGAATATGAAACTCACCAGGACACCTTAGTGTGATAGGAAACAGCTCCTGGTCCTGGCCTGGGAGGCCTGGAGGGGAAGCAGGGGCACCCTGGTCTGCCATATACAGATGCACGTGGGGAGTAGTGAGGCTTGTGGAAAGCAAAGGCCATGAGGCACGGCCCCACCACTTAGATTTCTATGTTTCTTTTGAGTCATTTTGCTCTGGGTATAGACTTTTAAAGTAGGATTATTATGCCCTCCTGTTTAGACAGCATCACAGGACTAGAATGCTATACATAGTCCTATGGACACCACGAACCTTCAGTAACCCTCAGTGCAAAAAGCTCTTCATTATTTTTTAGATTTTTCAAAGGCATGCATGCCCATGATACCAAAATTAAGAGTCTGAGGAAGTACATATGTACAGACCTGTGTGTGCACACACTTACAGGTCCCTGCATCCTGTATCCATAATTTATTTCTCAAGTGCAGAGGTCAGCAAGCTAAGATGACTTTTCATTTTTAAAGTTGATGGTAAAAATCTAAACAATAATTTGTGATATGCCCAGATCATACTGAATCTAAATGTCATTATCCATGAATAAAGCTTTATTGGGGTACAGCACAGTCCACCTGTGCTGTGGGGTGCCACCTGTGACTGCTCCATGGTGCGGCAGCAGAGCTAAGCTATTGCCTGATAAGTAGAAGGACTGGAAGCCAAAAACATTGGCCATGTGGCCCTGTGAGAAGAAGTTTGGCTGACTTCTGCCAATAGTTGAATGCATGTCTTCCCAAACTTCCACATCCATAAAGAAGACATACACCTTTGCCCCTCAGCATTGCAAAATTAATAAATGAAATTTTTAAAAAACTATATATATATCTCTCCACATACATATACAGATCTTATAGTGGGTTTGAGGGAAGAGAGACAGAGAGTTGCTTTAAAAAAAAAAAAAGTTCAGCCACTGCATGTAAACTGTTTTACAAGTGTGTCATTCTTCAGTTCCCTCACGTGCTTGTGTGGTTCCCACCAGGCCCTCCCGTTCACCTCTGCAAAACTTGCACCCCCACCACATCTGCATGCACCAGTTCCCTTCTTTGGCTGTGCTCAGACCATCCTGCACAGTGTTTTTCTGTTTATTTCTCCTCCATACTGGAGTCTGGGTCAGGGTCTCTGTTGGTCTTGTTTCCTGCTGTACCCGCTGCTCTCAGCCCCGTGCCTGCCTTTCAGTGCAGGGCAGACCACGGCACACAGACTCTGGCTCCAGCCTGCTTCTGTCTCAGGTATGCGTCCAGCCTTCAGGTTGAGTGTTGCTGCCGGTGGCCTGGCGATGCCTCCCTTAGCCGTCAGCATGCCAAGTCAGGCTGTCCCATCCGGTGAGCTCCCATAACAGGGGGCCTGCTTTTCCCTGCAGACTCGGATCTTGGTTACACATGGCATCAGCTACTTGCCGCAGGTGGATGTGATCATCGTCATGACTGGTGGCAAGATCTCAGAGATGGGCTCTTACCAGGAGCTACTGGACCGGGACGGGGCATTTGCCGAGTTCTTGCGCACGTATGCCAGTGCCGAGCAGGAGTCCTCAGAGGATGATGGTAAGGCTGCGGGGTGCTGACTGGAGACCACACTGCCTCTTGGAGGTTCCCATTGACTACTCTGAGAAGGAGGCTCATGCAGGCATCAGGGTGGGAGCAGGTCAGATGCCTCAGGGCCTGGCTGAGAACCAGCTGAATGGAGAGGGGACCGCATACCGTAAGGCCATGTGCTAGGTCCCAAGAGCACTAGTCTTCAGTTCAACTGACCTAAGAGTGGGAGGCAGTCTTTCTGTAAAGTAGCCTGGGGTCCATGATCTTTGGGGTCCTGATGGTAAAAACAGGGACAATGGTAATTATAATCCCTCAGTTTGTGCAGAGACTAAGATAGGGCAAAGACGTGGTAAATACTCAGGACAGATGAAGCGTGAGATTGAACCTACATGCTTAGGCCACTGGCTCAAATCCCAACTACTGCTGTAACAATTTTGGTGACACAAGGCTTATCCTTCAGACCCCTCACCCTGTGTCCTTGCTGATAAGGCAGTATGACAGGAACAACCTCCTGGCATGGAGTGGTGGGTCAGCAGGTGCCCAGTCCTTCCTGAGTGTTCTGCACGCACCAGTTGTTACTGTTAGGCCCTGGGGAGAAGGACTGTCCCTGGCCTCTGTAGGCCACAACAGACCTGCCCATTCTCAGCTCCCTTGCCTTGGTTTCTCCTGCAGGCTGGCATCTGAAAGTGCAGTAGTCCAGGGCACCTTTTCAGACTTCTGGGCAGGGTGGACATCCAAGAATCCGTCTCTCTCATCAGTTGGTTCACACTGGCATCTCAGAGATTCCTCTGCTCACCTCCTGTCTGAGAGGTGTGGCCCATAGTGACATGGACAGAACAGATGTCAGCTGATACTGTCTCTGTGTCCCACATGGCCATGCTTTTCGTCTTGGGGCCCGTCATTCTCGCCAATCTCTGAGCCTCTCTTGTGAGTGTCTTTAGTTGCACTGTAGTGCCTGGTTTGATGTAGTGAATCGAATTGAAACACTTCCCTTTTATGGTCATTTTGACTTTGGGGAAAAGCCAAATTTTGCAGGTGCCAGATTCAGGGAATAAGGTGATAAGGATGTTCTGTAATTTTTTTACGATCTTGCCTTGACATTGGATGGCACTTGGCAGTAGCATTCACCATACTTTTTTAATCATGTCTCATAAAGACACAAAAAAGGACTTCCAGAACTGCTCAGAAAGTAGCAAGAATGCTGAACTGTTTCTCTGAAGTGAGAGCATTTTCATGAGGATTAATGACAGTGTTCCTTCTACTAGAATCGCATTTTAATGTAAACATTCACCGTGTATTTTGATCGCCACTGCTACATCTACAATGATCCCAGTTCTATATACTGTCACATTCTGAGTTGCTGGAGGTGAGGGCTTTAATGTGAATTTTAGGGGCTCCGAGTTGACCTGAAACAGTACTGTTCAAGGTTCGAGGTTTTGGAGAGTCAGTAGTGATTGAGACACAAAGCCCAGACTGGGTGTGGTGGTGCCCGCCTGCAATCCCAGTGCTTCAGAGGCTATAAACAGAAGGATCACTACAAATCCAATCTGTGTAGTGAGACCCTGTAGACCCTGCACTAAATACATTTTAAAAAACAAGACACAAAGCCCTATCCTTAGGGGCTAGAGGGAAAGACAAAAAGCAAATCACATAAAGATGGTTTCAGGTAGTATTAAGCATTGTGAAGAAGAAAAAAAAGCATCAGGTAACTGGTCAAACTGGTGTGGGTGGCAGGCTGGCAACTCAGACAGGATGGAAGTCCATGTAGAGAGGTGACAGGTATGGGAATGATCCAGATAGGAGAAGCTCCTGAAAAGTGTTCTGGATTTAGGGGACAGCAGGCACAGAGGCCTTGGAACCAATGTGATCTCCATTTGTGTAAGAAACCTACAGGACCCTGGTGTGGCCAGAGCAGGTGGACAGGAGCTGGGGCTGATGAGGGCAGCCCCACATTAAGACGTTGGTCTAAACTTGTGGGGAGCCACTAAGTGAAAAAGAGGAGAGTACCCTGAGGGCATCCACCAGCTGCTGACAGGTTGGACCCCAGTTTGGGTCTCATTTATCTGCGGATAACAGAGTTGCTGTGCTGTGGTTTTGTTTGTTTGTTTGTTTTATTGATACTGCCCTGGGGATTGATCACAGAGCCCTTCCCCTGAGCTACATCCTCAGCTGTGTTGTAGTTTTTAAGACATGGTCTTGCTAAACTACCCAGGCTGAGTTGGATGAACCTATCATCTAACTCCTTCAGCCTTACAGACTGCTGGCATCACAAGGCAGTGTCACTAGGCCAGCTCTCTTAGTAGGTTATTTATTTATTTATTTTTATTTTTATTGTTTTTAGGGAAGGGTCTACAGGGTGTTCAGGGTCTCACTACTAGATTGGACCCTTAGTGATCCGCCTGTTTACAGCCTCCCAAGAGCTGGGATTACAGGCACGCACCACTATGCCCAGTCTCAATTGTCATCTCAGCGCGCCCCAGGGGTGGGGCCGGTATGGCAGGTCCTGTCTCTTAGTAGTTTTTAATAGGTGATTTTTTGTGATAGAATTGATGTACCATATAGTTTGACTGCTTAAAGTCACTTAATCCAGTGGCCATTACCACATTCAGTCTTTTTCATCTCACTGACAGAGAAAACCCCATAACTATTAGCAGTCACTCATTTTTTGCCAGCCTGCAAGTCCTAGGCAGCCAGTGTTGGGAGCCCGTGAGGCTGGAAATTGATCGTGCGTGGGAGGGCAGGATGAAGCCAAAGCAGTCAAGTTTTGAGAAAAACATCCTGCATGAACATTGTGGGTTCCTAGTCACTAGGCAATCTTGTGTCTTGCAGCCTTGTAAAGGTATAAATAAAGGCCCTCACTGTTGTTCTGGGGGTCCTCTTGCCAACCCAGCAGACAGGCCACCACCTGGCCCAGCTCTTTTCTTCTGGGCTATCTTTTCCTGATTCCTGCCACTGTTTCTCCCCGGGTACAGTGGATCACACTGAGAGACCAGTGGATCCCTACAAACCAGTTATCTATTTTCATTCATTCTCATTCTCTCTCTCATTTTCTCTCTCTCTCTCTCTCTCTCTCTCTCTCTCTCTCTCTCTCTCTCTCTCTCTCTCTCGATTAGCTTAGCCTGCACCTTTTGTATAAAAGGACTTGACCATATGTGACATTTTATCGCAGGCTTTTTCCAGAGTCTTGTGTGTTTAGAGGAAAAAGTTGTACTTGTGAGGTTTTTGTTTGGTTTTATTTATTGGTTCTTGCTGTGCATGGTAACTGACATTCCCTTAGCTTTTAATGTTTTTAGTTGGAATGAGTTTCTACACATTCATGCCCTTTGGTGGGAAGTTCTGCCTTATATCTAGCCTATTCGATGGTACTGCAGCTCTGCTGGCTCATAACCCCAGTATGCTTTGTCTTCTAAATTGAGGGATATGAGTTCCATAGAATCTTTTTTCCGGGATGGTCGGTCGTCGGGCTGGCAGTCCGTTGGTCTGGTCTGGTCTGGTCTCTGTTTCTCAGCTGGTGTCTCTGTCCTTAGCCCTCTTTCCATCCAGTGATCGAGGAGCATCCTTAAACTCTCTCCCCTCTTCCCAGCTGCTAGATATCCAAAGCAGTTTGTGCAGAGCGTTAGAAGTGGCCCGTTTCTTTATTATTTTCTGTGCATGCTGGCACTTAGTTTGGCGATGAGACACCACCTACCGCCCTAGCGTCTCTGTGGGATCACTTCCCCAAGTCAGCCACTTCATCTCCGGCCAAGTAAGATGCTGCATCCTTAGCCTTTGGGCCTTACACCAGGTGGCCCCTTCTCCACTTCCTGGAGGGGGCCCATCTGGAAGTCGTGGTGCGCAGGCCTCGTCTTGCTCACGCTCGGCCAGCTCCAACCAGAGACCTTGGATCTGTGCAGCTGCACTTCTGGCCCCTCCTAAAGGGGAAGCGTCTTCCTTGTTGGCTTCTTGAGGTCCAACGCCAGGCTAAAGGCAGGTTGGTTGGCAGTGATTCTTTCTCAGTGTGATGTCACAGGGGAGAGGCAAGCCTGTTGCTATACTGGTTTCTAGGAAATCTGTTTATTCCTTATTTTTTATTATTTACTGCTTATTTAGGATGGCAAGGAGACGTACACAAATTGGGTTGTCTTTGTTGTATTTTTTTGTTTACAGTCTCAGGGATTGAACTTGAGACCTTGTGCTTGCCCTTCAGGTGCTTATGCCATTGAGCTATCCCCCCAGCCACAGGTTGGTTTGTTAAACCACATATATGAGAAGCAAATTTATTTTAAGCTTTGAGGGTTTTTTTTGTTTTTGTTTGTTTTATGGCCCTACGGAGCAAACCCAGGGCTTTCACATTCATGGTCCTTTTAATTTTTATTTTGAAAAGAGTCTCACAAAGTTGCCCAGTTGCCTGGGCTTGCCTCAGACTTTCAGTTCTCCTGCCCTGGCCTTGGCCTGCTGAGTGCAGGGGTCACAGGCCTGTACCGCCACAGCTGATTGCTTTCTTCTTTTTTTCTTCTCTGGTGCAGGCCATGTGCCCAGCAGGTGTCCCAGCACTGAGATGCATTGCTTCTTAGGAATGTAAAACCCAGGTTAGGGATTTCCCACGGGGAGCAGGAGTGCCTTTTGAGTTTTGACCACTTGTGGTGTTTTTTGCTGCTATCACTGGTTTGGGGGTTTCTACAAATATCTTCTGGGTAGCACCTGGCAGTGCTCGTGGGGTGCCCCATTCCTGCCCCTCTACAACAGAACAATGGAGCCAGCAGGTTGCGGGAAGAAGGGGGGAGCTGCACAGAATGGCCTGGACCTCGGCAGGGGAAAGCCCTGGAGAAGTCGGGCTAGTGGGGAGGTGGAAAATACCAGTGACAGTTCAGCCTTACCCACTCCCTGGATTTCTTTCTTCCCCTTCACTGAAAGTGCTATGGACCCCACCTAGCAGCCTTAGAGCCCCCTTGCAGCAAAAGAGCTGCACAGTCCCGTCAGCCCTCTGCAGGGCCTGCATTTTGTCCACTTTTGAGGAACAGGAACTTTCACAGCTGTAGCTTGCGTGTGAGCTTGGATGGTACAACCAGCACTTCCATTTTTGGTCAAAAACAAGGTGTCACCTACACAACAGTGAGTTGAATTCTTCTCCCAACGGAGGCCAGCCTGCTGGCCCCAGCCTGGCCGAGGTCCATACCCTTCCCTAGCGAAGGCAGCGTTGGCATAAACAGCCTCTGAGGTATTGCTGTGAGCGAGCACTCGCGGCTTGGCCTGGCCCATGCTGCACTTCTGGGACTCAGAGTGGGGACAGACGTGGCTTGAGGGCACCAGAGACCTGCCACCTGTTACCCTGCTTTCTGTTCTTTGTTGAACTTACCACTTCCTGGCAGTAAATCCAGCGTCTGCTGGCTTGTTTACTTGTTCTCTCAGTCCATGGCTGCCTGTCTCCTCAGGAGGGAGAATAGTGCCCAGACCAACTAGACACTCACCATGAGGCCTTAAATAAGTGAGTGAGTGGATTACACCTTGATCATTTGGGATATTCCCTTTATGAACTGTTAGCCAAGCCTGGTGATACAGGCCTGTGATCCCAGCACTACTTTGAGCCTTGCCTGGACAATTGAATAACTTTTTGAGACCCTGCCTCAAAATAAAAAAGGCTGGGGATGGGTTGATTTTGCCAGTTTCCCTGGGAACCAGACTAGAAGCAGCTATGTAGATACAGACTGCAGGGGGTTACTGATGTGGCTGCACCGATGCCCTTGTGGCCGTGGAGCTCGGTTCTGCTTGCTCACTGGCTGTTCAGCTGTCAGCCTGTCCATCTGCCCCTCGGGGGTGTGCACAGAGGGCCTCCTGTGTGGTGCAGGGCCACTGTGAGTCAGTGCCACTGTGGGTCAGTGCTGCGCCCGAGTTGTTCAGTGCATGTCCAGGTGCCGAGAATAGCGGTAAGAATTAGTCTACAGAGGCCGGGGAGATGGCTCAGTAGAACAAGCACTTCCCTGGCAAGCGCAAGGGCCTGAGTTCAATCCCTAGTTCCAAAAAAGAAAGAAAGAGAGAATCGGTCTACAGTCTTAGGAACAAAGGAAGACTAATAACAGAGGACATCTGGGTGGTACATGTAGTGATATAGGAAGTCTCCAGGCCTATGAGAGCCCAGAAAAGGGCTGCATCCCATCCTGGGAGGGCCCTGGATGATATCGGAGCCCAGGGACATTCTCTTCTCCTTTTCTGGGGTCTTTGTGTAACTGTCTCAGTGTAAGTTTCTATGTCTGTCCTCCAACAGCCAAGGCTGTGCCTGGAGCTGAGGCCTGCGCTGCCTCCCAGCTTCACAGCTTTCTTTCCCTGCTCTCCACTGCAATTCTTTTCTTCCCTCTGCTGCCATGAAAATAGATAAAAAAAGATGGAAGTTGTTCTGCAGTCTTACTTTTATAGCCTTATTTTTTTTTTTTCTGAGACAAGGTCTTAATAAACAGTGAAGGCTGGCCTTGGCCTCCCAGTCCTCCTATCTCAGCTCCCAAGTACTGCGATCACAGGCATGCAGCAGCACAGCGCAGCATCTAGCTCTTTTGATGTTTAAAGACAGGTATTTTGGAGCAAGGCCATGTGTTTGGGAGGCACAAATAGAGCAGGTCCATCAATGTCATGGTGCTGGCCCCTCCCCCTTGTGGGATGATCCATTCATTCCCTCTGGATGTTGAGGGAAGCATGGGAAAAGGCATTCGCTGGATTCTTAACACCTTCTTGGATCTTGTGACTCCCCAGGCGGCAAAGTGGTGGACAAGGAAGAGGAAGGTCAGTAGTGCCTGGGTTGCAATTGGCTGTGCTAGTGGACCGTAGGTGGAGGCTGTAGATGGACCAGGGTTGCCATTGCATGCCTGGCAGGGGAGCTTGAAGGTCTGTGCATTTTCACCTCCTAGCATTGCGGTCGGTACTGGGCATACATTTTGTGTGTCCCTAGCTCTGGCGTGTCGCCTGGGCCTTGGCTAAGCTTACTGTCTTGGAGTCACAGACTGCATTGCATAGGGCGTGGCACACAGCCCACTGTGGCTGATGACAGGCACACAAGTGTTTCTAAGCATGATTAAAACATGCTCAGGCCAGGACAAAGCAGGGTGAGTGGTGGCGGAGGCGAGGTAGGGGTGCTGTCCAGCAGAGTCCAGGCTGGCTGGGCTGTCCCTGCTGCTCCTGTACCAGTGGTGGAGGGATGAGGGTCCAGGCCAAGGACATTTTGCAGGTAAGAGGCTGACTTCTGCCACCTTATGCAAAAATGGCCAAAGTCAGGAATTGGAAAGTCTGGGAATCTGCATAGAGTCTTGAGGATGGGCCAGTAGGATCATCATGATCCTTTGGGCATTGATACAAGGCAGAGCCCAGGGCACTTAGGCAGGGCCATACTTGGCCAGGGCAGCCTGGGACCCATAGGGCAGCCTGCCTGGGTGGGGGAAGAAGGCGACAGTGACCACTTGAGGTGGTGGCAGAGCAGTAAGCCAGTTTGTTGCTGTCTCTCCCTTGAGATCCACAAACCCCTGGCAGAGTTGAGTCTTCTTGAGCCCTGGCTGGAACAGCCTTTGAACAAAGGTGAGGCAGCCCAGGAAGCCGCTGAGCAGTTCCTGTTGAGAGCCAGTGGTTGCAGGAGAGATGAGCAGGGAAGGGAAGGCCAAGGCTTGCAGAGGGGTGGCCCAGGCCAGCCAAGCAGGGCAGAGCATGTCTCTGAAGCATGCCACACTCACAGCCACACCTGGCTCCCAGGGCCATGCATGTGTCAGTACTGAACGTATGCAAGTGCGTGGGAAGTCCTGCTTGCTGTCACTCTTCCTTCCTGGAGGATGGGCTGCCTTGGTTTTGTGGCTTAAGAAGGAGAGATGCTCACACACAAGGAATGTTTAAAGCAGATCACACTACAAGTACATGTAGTATCAAAACCAGTCTCTCTCTCGCAGAGCACTGGCTGTGCCTGGTGCCACGCACAGTCCTGTTCCAAACCCCTGCCTATGAGGGTGGGATCTGTTGCTGTTCTATCTTGCAGATAGGCAGGTTGAGGATTACAGAGGTTTCCTGTTTCCCTGAGATGCTCAGAAGTGAGAAGACAGCTCCCAGAGTTCTGGCTACCTGGCTTTGCCCCGTTGCCTGACTGATCTAGCTCAGTCACTGTGGGAGCCCAGGCCTGGACGCGGGGCATGTTTGCATTTATGAAGAGTCCTCGCTCTTAAGGATTCATGCTGGGCCACGATTGAGAATCCTGGTGTAGGGCACCTGCCCCATCTCAGGAACCATCCCTAGCTCCCTCTTCATGTCCAGCATTGGCTGAGGCTCCCTGTGGCTGTCCCCTCAGAGCCTGGCTTTCTGCATTCTGCATGAACTGTGTGTTCCCAGGGTGGCCCTGTACCGTGCTGCTGGCAGCATGTGTATCCCATGCATAACTTCTTTCCTGGTCTCCTCTGAGGGCAGCCATCTGCTGCTTTGTGCTGTGCTTGTCCCTCTCCTGGCATCAGAAGAGGAGGAAGTCAGTGCAGAGCAGGCGTAGTAGTTGTGACACCTCCCTGCTCCCCCTACCCCCGCAAGTCCTGTGGATGGGAGGAGCTAATGGATTCCACCCAGCGCGGCACTGGTTGTGAGGCCACAGACAGGCTCCTCGTCCTTTCCCGAGGTGGTGGTTTTCTTGTCTTTGGTTTTGGCCTTGCTCAGCTCTTAAAACACCAACTGTGTCCTAAAAGCTGTTGACCAGCATCCTGGCTGCTGTTCTGGAGATTCTTCCAGGACTGGGGCCTGTCCAGGTGCTCCACTGGGGCCTTTTCAGTTTACATAATGAGATACCTTCTTGTTGCTGGGGACTCGGCCTTAACCTGGGCCCTAAGGTTTGTCCACCAGAAGGGTAACCCCTACATTGCAGTGGCTTCTCCTCCCTGGCTACTGCCCTTGTCAGACTGGTTGGTTTGTATTTTGGTTTGGTCTGAGGTAGTTGACAGCCAGAGGGCTCTGTGTGGTCCTTTGCATCCCATCCCATTGGCTAGATTCACCTATCAGCAAGGCTAGATTTTACTCCTCAGTTCAGTGCAGGGCACCTGCCCAAGCCCAGGACCTTCTGCCCATGTACTCTTGCCTGGGGCCATCCCAGCCCTGAGAAACCCTGCTGCAGCTGAGGATTAAGAGCCTGTCTGTGGCCTCACAAAGCCATCCTTTCCCAATGTGGTGGTTTTCTTGTCTTTGTTTTGGCCTTGCTCAGCTCTTAAAACACCAACTGTGTCCGTCATCTCTCTCCTGCCAGGGCTGACAGGCCTCAGTGGTCCAGGAAAGGAAGCAAAGCAAATGGAGAATGGCATGCTGGTGACGGATGCCTCCGGGAAGCAGCTTCAGAGGTGAGCGCAGTGAGGGCGGCCGTGTTGACGGTTCTCTGAGACCAGTGTCTTTACCCTTCTCACCTGGAGCGGTGGGGAGGGTGCCAGCACCTTACCCAACTACCCAGCAAGTGCTCAGCTTCCCAGGGCCCTCTGTGCTCCCCTACAGGTCCTCAGGGACCTCCCTTGGCAGAGGCCCACAGTGCAAGGTGGTGCTGCATGTGTCAGATGGCACAACTCACAGGTCTCACAATTGCGCCCTCTGTCCCCACTCCCGACCCTCAAGTTCCCATCCTGGTGTGGGTCTCTGCTCAGGTCATTCACAGGGGCCTGCAGTGGTCAAGTTTTGCAAAGCAGTGTCTGATGCAGAATAGGCAGAATAAGTGGGGGATGGCGGCCCAGGCCTGTAATCCTAGGTAGACATGAAGGCAGAAGAATTGCAGTCTCCAGGCCAGCCTGACAACTTAGTGAGACCCTGCCTCAAAAGACTGGGGGACACTGAAGATATGGCTTGCTGGTAGAGTGCTTGCCTGCCATTCATAAGGCTCTGAGTTTAATTGTCAATGTTAAAAAAAAAAAAATCTGAATAGCCACATTAATAGTGGCTGTTCTGTCTTATCCACCGTGAGGAGCCAGGACCTGCATGGCCTTTGAGCTAGAGGTAGTTGCTGTCATCTTTCCATTTCATAGGTGAACAAACTGAGAGCTGCCCACAGCTCACCCAGCTTGAGAGAAGCTGAGCTCGAATTCATACCCAGCTCTGAGTTCTAGACTCCACTGCTCTAAACAGGTTGTTTCTGGTAAAGTGACTGGGTGATTGGAGCAGTGGCATCGCATATGCTTTGTTGCAGAGCCCTGTGTCTCAGTTTTCTCATCTGTTAAATGGGGTTTATGGTAATACCTAGCAGATGGGCTTGTAGTGGGGTAGATGCAGTACGGTGTGTGTGACAAGTGCAGGCACCGCCAGGACTCACAAGCACTCAGCTGGGACAGCCTTGAGTTCCACCTTCCTCAAGTGGATGATTCCACGGCTGGGAAGATGTGCACCAACGGTTGTGCTGACAAAGCACGGTGTCTTAAGACAAAAAAACACAGAACAGTGTCTTAAGACAAAAAAAAAGGGGAGATACAAAGGAAAGAGCATATTTATATATACAAAATAGGATAGATATACAGCTACTTTCGCTTAATTCAATGAGAAGAAAGAGGTGTACTAATAGTGTTTGGACAGGATATCCTGTCTGCTTCTAGTACTATGGATAACCACTGAGAAGATAACAATGTACAATGTATTGATTATCGAAACTGTCCTATTAATCAGCTTTGAAATTGTCTCATTCATATTTATTTCTTAATTAAAATAAATAATAAAATGAAAAAGCAAGAGAAAAAAGAATTTAAAAAATTTTTTAAAAGAAAGCAAGTGGTAATATTTACTCATATGTTCAATCTTTTTTTTCATATATTCAATCTTACATAACTATATCTGTTAATCCGAGCAACAGATTTAACAATAAAAATAGATAATATATTTTAAAAAAAGAACAGTGTCTTTGCTTCCCTCCTGGGCTCAGCACTGCCTTAGGGGACAGGCGGAAATGTTGCCTGTCCCACTGATGCACCAGTCCAGGTGATGACCAGGTACCTATGGAGCTCGTGGCTAGCATGTACAGAGCATGCAGTGGGAGTGGTCACTTCCATGGTCCACACCTAGCTGTTGCTCTGGGATGTAGGGACAGGTGATAGCAAGAACTTGCTAGAGGGAGTCTCAGTGGGGAGGGCCTGGGAGGAGCACAGGGCTCTGGCTGGATCAGTTATCTCTTATGTAACACAGGGCCACAGCTCAACAGCCTCTTGTCTTACAGTTTCTGGCAGTTGGGAGTTTAGGTGCAGCATATTGGGGCCCCTGCTTCAAGATCTCTCATACACCTGTAGCCAAGGTGGTGGCCAGGCTTGTCTGCTAAGTGTGTACAGTGACATAGCCCTTGGTCTGCAGTTCTAAAACCCCATGAGCTCTGAAGACAGGAGGCTTGTAGGAAACTCATTTGGTAGAGAATGAGTGCAGCACACTTATTTCTTGGCAGAATCTAAACTGACCTGCAGCCATGGAAACCCTTGTTTTCTGCAGGTGGCAGAGCTATTCTTGCCTTTCACTGCAGAAGTCTCCACATGTGTGATTACAGGGCTTCCTTAGATCTGTGGAGTTATGTCACCTTCACTACCTTAGCCACCCTCTCTTTGTCAAGTGGACAAAGTCAGAGCAAACATATCTGTCTCCATGTGTGGGAGAGAGAACTGTGGACCTGAGGGTGTTTTGGAGTCAACAGAGAGTATACATGATGGACTGGCACAGTGCCTGGCATAGAGTGGGCACCTGGAAGGTATTGCCTTTGCTGGTATTATTGTCTCTAGTGGGAGACCCCTGGCAGCATGTAGGGCTCCTGGTCTTCTGTCCCAGGAGTGTAAACTTCTAAGATCATGCAGCAGGAAGCTCCAGTTCCCTGTCTGGATTCTGGATCCTTCTGCTGGCAGCTGCAGAGTGGCCCTTCTCTTTGCTGCTCCCTGAGCATTGGCTCTTGCCTTTGCACTGGGGACCCCTTCTGCACTCCCTTTACCTCAGCCAGAGACCTCTAAGCAGACTTCTGGGTGAGGAAAGATACCTCTTGGGACCTGATGTGAAGTGGGGAGGTGCTGAAGGCTTATCTGGCTTCAGGAAATGTTCTCGGGGGCCCAGCTTAGGGCTGCAGCACAGTGGGGAGTCACACAGGACCCCTGCCCCAGGTCCTTGTGATGGCGTGTGGGTGATAAGCAGGCCGAGGGAGTCATAGAGGTGACTGGAGAAAACTGTGCTGTTTTGCCTGGCCTTTGTAATCTCTCATAAATAGCTGCATTCCTCAGCTTTATTGGAGAAGCACGGAAAGAACTGTCACCACAGACACCATGGCCAGAGCTAAGTCTGTCGTCCTGTGGACCTGACTCCATTTCCCCGAGGGCCTGCAGTCTCCCCTGTTACATTTTCGTGAGCCCCAGGCCAGCAGTCATGGGGGACTGTTGTGCCTGTGTTAAGGGGGTCCAAGGGAGTCTTTATAAAAGGAGCCCGTGAAACTGGAGGGCTTTGGAATTAGACAGGACCTGAGGGGCTCCTATGCCAACCGTGGGGGGCTTGAGGTGACAAGGGGCTGCAGCACAGTGGGGAGTCACACAGGACCCCCTGCTCTCACTGCCACTCACCGCTCCCTCAGAGGAACTCTGATGCGCCTGCTCTGAATGAGGTTTCTTAACCAAGGGGAAAAATGTGAAATTCTTGGCTTGCATATTAAATGCATATATCCTTATAGATGTGCACCTGGGTGGTAAAGTACAAAAGTATAAGAAGAGAACATACCAACTTAAAAACTGAGTTTAAGGTTAAGGAAAGGGGGGGGGAAGGTAAATTTTTTATTTTGTTTTTAATTTTTTTCTGTGTTATCAGGAGCTATCTAATGAGTTAGAGTTAAGGGAAATAAGACCAAACGCTACTGTCATCTCTTCTTTAATCACAATACCACAGACTAAGACGGTTTGTTAAGGCAGAGGTTTCTTGCCGGGGAGATGGCTCAGTGGAATTAGTGCTTCCCTGGCAAGCGCAAGGGCATGAGTTCAATCCCCAGTTCTGCCAAAAAAATAAATAAGTAAATAAATAAATAAAACAAAATTTAAAAAAAAAGAGGTTTCTTTTGCCTGCTAGTTATGAACATTACAGAGGCCAGGCAAAGGAGCATGGCTTTCTCCAGTAACCTCTGGGACTTCCTTGCCCGCTTATCACCCACACAGTTCTGGGCCAAGATCAAAAGGCTATATCTAATAATGGCCTTTTTTTGTTTTTGTCTTCTTTTGGCTGTACTGGGGAGGGAACCTAGGGCCTCTAAACTGAGCCACATCCCCAGCCCTAAAAAAAAAAAAAAAAATTGCCCAGGTTGGGCTCAAACTTTGAGTCCTTCCCCCTCAGACTCCCAGAAAGTGCCACCATGTCAGTGATGATGTTCCGACCAGCAGAGTTCATGGGCAGCAAAAGGCATCAGGTAGGAGAGACCAGGAGTGCTGGAGACCTAGCCCCTGGCTTTCACAGCAGATCCATTCTTGAAATTCCCTGTCAATCCCATGAAGAGAGGAGCACATTCCTGAGGGCAAACCCTAGTTCGTTGTCAGGGCCTCACGTGGCCCACCTGTGAATGTCACATGTGGATTAAATTGCATGTTAACAAGGGACATGCTATGTTCAAACCATAGCAGTTACTATGTGTTACTTGAGGGGGGTCAGTATATTTCATCTATATGTTTGGGGGCCTTAATGTTAAACTTATTTTCACATGGAAAATAAAATGACCCAGGATTCAGAAATTGATGTATTTGTATACAAGGGAAAGATACATATGCTTAAGTGGCAAAGCAAATGGGGTCAAAGTATGAGAAGCGGGTGAGGCTGGGTGGAAGGTATACAGAGTCTATCAGACTGTTTCTGGAAAGGGCCAGCCAGGTAGCTCAGTGGACTCAAGTGCCTGCTTAGGCTGAGTGCAGTGACTGGGAGTCGGTCCTGAGTGCGCTGTGGCAGCTCCTCCCTGGGGCACGCTGAGCCAGAGATGAGACTGGGCGTGGTAGCACGTGCCTGTAATCCCAGAGCTTGGGAGGCTGAAAACAGGAGGATCACTGAGAGTATGACCTATGCAGTGAGACCTTGTAGACCATATATATATATAT